TTAACTGGCTAGCTTACGTTGCTGTTGATTGTACGAGCGAGCAAATGTCCCTGAGAACAGGCAGTGCGCCGGTACGCGGGCCTGCCGCCTTGTACAATTGTGCTTGCTCCGCTGATACATGGCCATTGTTCCACCTTTTGTCCTTCTTAGAGCCCTCACTAGTGCTAGTGGCACCCCGCTGTAGTGCTGTCCCACGCACTCGGTTTTGAACGTCTTCTCTATTTTCACCTTACCCCAGTAACTTCTACATTTTTCACCCTTCCACCATATGGCCACTACATATAGTCGCATACAGTACCTAGTTGCATGAGCACTACGCAACACCGGCTTTAGGTACACTAAGCAGCAACAGTTATCTCTACAACACCCATGAACATCAGAGTGACTGAAAATGCAGAAGGCATGAAAAATAGTGGAAACAAGTGGAAAAATCATTTCTTCAAAATGAAGGGGTGATATAGGGATGGCTTGAAGCACCAAAAAGGAAGAAACAAGGGGTCATTACACAGCAAAGATGCACAAAGCTACATGACACCATCCCTATATCTTTGTGTTATATATAGTTCACAAGTAAAGTTTACTATGAGACAAAGATATAGGGATGGTGTCATGTAGCTTGGTGCATCTTTGCTGTGTAATGACCCCTTGTTTCTTCCTTTTTGGTGCTTCAAGCCATCCCTATATCACCCCTTCATTTTGAAGAAATGATTTTTCCACTTGTATATATATCTGCACAAAGACTTTCTCTGCAACTCATGAGTTTTACTTTCTGCTATATATATCGACAATGATGACACACAGGCGTTTTTAGATTAACCCCTTTCTCTCCTCACCTGTCCTCCTCGTCCCCGGTGCCCAGTTGTCCGTGTTGCCCCGCCCCCCAAACAAGGACTCTGTTATCTGATGTCACTACTGCAATGTGACTCTCCCCACACCCCACCTGTACGACACGAAACAGGCTTACAGCTTTTTCAACTCTATAATATCATATACATAATTATTATCATCACATTGCACACAGCCAACCTAGGGTGTAAGAATTTTCACCAATAATGCAAACAATTTTGCCCTGTGAATATAACACATGCACTGTGATCTATTATTAATCCTTTTGGCGACGATTGATTGTAAAAAATTATTAATGGCAGTGTGTGTACTATAATATTACTAGGAATGCGCACGCGCATATTTTGCCTCGCCAGCCAGAATGCGTAAACAGTCCGACTGAGGCCGTCGTGCGCGCGCTCTACTGACTGCGCGCGATGCCAGACTTCCTACGAATCTGCGCGCACGGCGGAAGCTAGACTTCCTACCAATGACGGAAGTTACACTTCCTTTTGGTGACTAATTGACATTCCCAAGCGTGACTAATTGACGACGTATGTACGTACGCATATCGCGAGAATACAACCCGGAGTAGTTGCCTCACGCTAACGCGCTCGGCAATAACTCATGTAAAACTAGTAAAACTACGAGCACAATGTCATCATCACCGCTAAGTGAGATGCGTAAGTACCTGAACCACATCGTGTGTGATGAGATCCTCCACCAGCTTTGGCTTGAGACAGTCCTGGTTGTCGTGGTGACCTTGTACCCCTCGGTTGCCACGGCCACACGTCATGAGAATCCCGTTGTCTGTCACCAGGACACTGTACTCCCCTCCACACTCAACTCTGTGACGATATAAGGAATGTCAGTAATCATAGTCAGTAATCACAGGGGTTTCAAGTGTATTACACTATATACAACAGAACCTTTTTGGTGAGCACCAGCAAGCCCACCAGGCACAGTTTGCTTTCTTCCAACTCCAGGGAATGTGGCAGCATAATGAGTACTAAATTTAGACACTGTACTAAAAAAACATAAACCTAATTGCGTTCTTTCACTGTGCCCTGTTGTTCAGTTTTAACATTTATGTATTATAGTGGCCACCACATGTATGAATGTTTGCAAGCTAGTGTAGGCTGATTTTCATGTGTTAGGTCAGTAATTGTGCTGACATGAACACCAACCCTTAAAGCAAGTTCTCAGGACTTAACAACAGAGGTGTTACAGTAGTACTTAGTATATAGGGATAGGGATGGGCATGGTACCTAGCATTATAGATGTATGGGGCTATGATAGGGAGTTTTGTTCATCATCTTCTTCTTCTTCTTCTTCAACCAGCATAACTCAAAAACCGAAAGAGATAAAGCCATGAAATTTTGTAGGAATGTACATATCAATAACCACATGTGCAACGTCATACTTTTTTGTTTGTAAACAGTGTTGTTTACTGTAAACATTGCCCCAGTGTAACTCACAATTGGTAAGAGCTATGTGAACGAAAGTTTGAATACACAATGTATTCAAAAGCCAACATCAAAATCACAATAATACATGTCTGTAGCACGCATGGAAGTGAAACTTGGTGCACATGGGTATTACATCGTTTCCATGACGACCACAACAACAAAAAGCCTCAGTAATATTTTCTTTATGATTACTTCTTCACTCCTTAAACTCGCTAACGGTACCACGCATGGAGATGAAACTTGGTACGCATGCGTGTAACATGATTTTCATGACAACCACTTTGTTTGAATAACAACAAAAAGCCTCATGAAATTTTGTAGGGATGTACATATCGCTAACCACATGTGCAACGTCATGACGACCACAACAACAGCATGGAGATGAAACTTGGTACACATGCGTATTACATGACAACTACATATTTCTATGACGACTACATTATTGTTCAAATAGCTTCAGGTACTTCTCCTCAAACTTTCTAACGGTAGCACGCATGGAGATGAAACTTGGTATGCATGCATGTTACATCATTTCCATGACAACCACATATTATTTGAACAACTACAAATAGCATTCGCAGGATTTTTAATTTACTTGTCAGAAGTGAGTGATCTTTCCCAAATACATTGATAGTGCAACAACCCTGCATATGGTTTAGTCTATGGCTCCAAGCCCAAAACAGACCCCCTACAATTCACTAGAGCATGTCTCCTATATAGTAAACAGGGTTTCAGCAGAGAAGCTAAGACTCTTAGATTCACATGGCACATGTCACCTCATGCACAAGGTATGCTGCCATAGAAGAACCAAAAGTGCTGCAAGGTTTGTTTAGAGCGAGCACTACATCCTCTTTCTCGGCCTTCGACCTGGTGTTTCCCAGCCAAAGCCTTTTTGCGTGGCCCTCATTCCTAGAAACAGGATACCAGAAACAGGATAAACCTCAGGTTAATTCGTCAAGGAGTAACAACATACCACAGCAAGATTTCTATCCCTGAACAAACAGGATGTTTTCACTTATGATGCACAACCATGCTGTTTACACCACATAGCATGATTATCGACCCCTAAGGAGAGAGTGGTTTCGAGCAAACAAGATATTGACAGCTCTAATACACAACCTAGGATAAACATGAAGTTTGCACAGTTTTATTGACCCGATAATTGTGTCTGTCTGAGGGGGTGGCTGTCAAACACACTCTTTGGGAAATTCAAGAACAAGTTGTGTACCAACATCTTAGTATAAGCAAACAACAACCACACATCACGTATAAAAGGCACGTAACTGAAACAGCCAGAGCATCAGAACAAAAGGAACAGCTGCAAAGTAAACTGACAAAATATCCGTGAGAACAGCAGTTGTCATGAAGCTGATTGTGACAGTCGTCCTATGTACCATGGTGATAATTCTGCAGCAAACTGCAGCCCAAGACGTGAGTGTCTTATGATAAGCAATGGTAATGCTGCATAAAAAAATAATTTTGCTATTGCAGTATTGCAGTGCCCCAGAATGTAGTTCTGGAGCCAACCTAGACCCGTACGCCTGCAACTGTGTCAACTTCACCAAGTCTACTTGCCCCAATGACACTTCGGAGATTGTGGATTCCTACGGTCGTTGCTCCTGCCAGGCTGCTGTCCACCCAGAGTGCGATGCAGGCTACACGCTCAATCCTGATGCCTGCATATGCAAGATCAGGGTTCCCCCGACCTGTCCAAATGGGACCTACCTCACTCCGCGGAATGCGCAGTGCATCGGGATCGACGAGCCAACTTGTCCCGAAGGCTTCAGCAAAGTTGGGTGTAAGTGCATAAAGGAGGTTGGTCGCCAGTGCCAAAACGGGGAGCTGGCCGCAAATGATTGCAAGTGTAAAAATGTGTATCCACCGAGGTGCTCGGGGCGTGGCTGTTCTCTGAACAACACCAACGGAGAGTGTACTTGCGAAAGAGACGGTAAGCACTTCAGCATAAAGCTTATCCTCTGCATTGTTTTTTACACTCGTTTCAGACCCACATCAAATCCAGTGTTACTACTCCAGAAGGTGTGGCGGCCAAACCTATTATGTCTCTGACATAGCCGAATGTTGCTACCGCTGGCCCGAAGACTATGATGGGGATGACAGCCAGAGTCCCCCGCATACCCGGCAGTACCTGAAATATTATTACTCCTACCGCAGCCAATATGACCGGTGCTACCCTTGGTAGGACCATTCATATTTGAGTATTAGACTTTAACATTCTTTCTCTCCAGTGCTTACTACCACTACTACCGTGGATAATCGAGAGGAAAACTATTTTGGACTAAAAATACGGACTGGACTCAGAGCTATGAACTTTATACAGCGCATGATATATTATACACATGATTAGCTACTATGAACTTTGATGCATTATTGTACATAAAGTTTTGAAGCAGACAACAGGAAAAGATGGCTAAACTTAGATAAAAAGTTGCTCATCATTGTAGAATACTCCTATTAATTGAGCTATATAGAAACACTGAATATTTGCTGGAAAAGCATAAGGGGACGGAAAATACAACAGAGATTGAAACCTTTCTTGAGTTTGCAGAGTTCTTGATTTTCTCAATAACTCTTATTGGGAGAAATAAGAATCTAAATACGTATTGGACTTTGAACACATCATGTATGCAATTCCCAAAACATTTTTGTTACACATTGGGTGAGAAGGTCCCAAAGAGGAAGAGGTTATGTAACTGAATTATCTAGGCGTCTCCATGGTTATGGCAGGAAAGAAGCAGCGCTAGGCCTATGTCTAGAGTAACATATTGTCCTCTGTAGAGATACACACACTCCACATCCTTCCAACAAATCAGAGACCAAAGCCTCAAGTTTGCTCTGAATGGAAGAGGAGAGGGATGTTCAGCAGACATTCGACTAATCAGTTTACAGAGTTCGTCAGACCTACTAAGCCACAGGGTTCCTGACTATTAAAAACTGTAAGGGTCAAAGAGTATAAAATAGCCGCTCTCTTTTAGCTTTCACAACAACTAGGAGCACTCCAGAAGCAGAAGAAGGAACATTAAAACTCACTCGATCTTTATCATGACGACGACGCTCAGCATCCTCTCCTGCCTGCTGGCAGTGCTCATTCAGCAAGGACAGGCTCTTAACTATGGGGTATGACTATTTGTTAACTATTGGGGGTTGATAGTGCCCTGCATTTCTCCACTGACAGACATGCAATGCTCCCACATGCCCAACGGACACGGTCTTTGATAGCTACAACTGCGCCTGTAACACCAACCGTGATGCTGTGTGCCCCGATGGCTACGGACCCATTGTGAAGGGACACGGGCTCTGTGCCTGCGAGAAGCTAATGATTCCGTTCTGCAAAGCTGGATTCGAGTTGAACACCAACACATGCAGCTGTAGCCTGATGGAGCCTCCTACATGCCCCCATGGTGCTAGTCTCACTCCACACTCTGCCCTCTGCATTGGTACTGCCGATGTCATGTGCCCACCTGGGGCCGAGCTGAAGGAAGGATGCATGTGCTTCAGCGCAAGGCTACGTGGGTGTCCGGAGGGTCGTCTCAGTGCCAATGGCTGCACATGTGAGGCTGTTGACACCGAACCACCTACCTGTGGAAAGGGCTGTCAGCTGGCTTACGATGGAGAGTGCAGATGCGAGTCCACCGCAAGTACGTGATAAGTATACATCAGCTCAACTATGCCATAATACCCTCTGCCGTCTTACTTTCTTTTTGCAGTTGAATGTTTCTCCCACAATGGATACTGTCAGGATTACTCCTACCATGTTGGGACTGTAGAGGACTGCTGCTACAATCCTCTCCAAGAGAGGTCATACAGAAATTCCAACGGAGATTGTATAGAATGGTAAGGGTGTCTGGATTTCAATATGCCTTAGTTATATTTGCCATTACTACACAGCCCTGTGGCACGTGGAAGGTTCTTCAACTAAATCAAGCTTTCAAGTGGATGAACATTGTCGCGTGTTATTTCTTGATTCTGTAACAAGTGTATATGTACATCTAAGCTGAATAAGTCTTCACACGATATATGGAAAGTCTTGCGCAATAAACAAGCGCCATGTAGATGAACAAAACCTACCAACAGAATGCTGAGATCATAAAACATCAGTGTACACTCCACTGATAGTTAATTGGTGGTGATGATGAGCCGCAAGGTTGAAGAATGTTGGTTAAGTACCTTACTTTATGACCAATGCCATTGCAAAAGTCAATGAATGATGGGAGCAGGCACAGTCACCTCACTTAGGCTAGGTTTAAAATGTCGCATTGCCCCGTCGTGCCGTGCCACGTTGCGTCCTGCCACGGTCAAGATATCCTCGCGGCGGAGCAATGCGACGTATTGTGAACCTAGCCTTTGTCCATGTTCACAACTGCATAACATTTCACAAATTCCCTTGCAGGAAAGTTTGACTTAAAACAACTCCTGATAACAACCACTCAACATCCTGAAAACTGCCACTGTAGCTCTTTCCATATCATTCCCTCAGGGTAATTCGGCAGACCATTGCTACAGTTCACTATTTTGCAACTGAGCAGCAGCATTTGCTTGTGATGACACATCCTCATAAACAACTGACATTTAAAGATTACAAGTAAATGAAAAATCCTGCGAATTTATAAAACGAGGCATATAAGGATGGTATAAAAAGAAAGGGAGACAAGATAGGGATGGATACATGAAGCATGGTTAGTGAACAGATTTGAGCATGCTGACACCCCAACCCCATCACACAATCCCCTATATTGTTGCCTGGTGTGCCACTCCATTTGTACTCTTGGTTAGACTATTGTGTAAGTTGAATGTTTAATACTTCACCTAGGCAACAATATAGGGATTGTGTGATGGGGTTGGGGGTGTCAGCATGCTCAAATCTGTTCATTAATCATGTATCTCATCCTTATCTTGTCTCCCTTTCTTTTTATACCATCCCTATACATATGCTCCTTTTTTAAATTCGCAGGATTTTTCATTTACTTGTTCATAATAACGTATATTCAAAGTAGGCAAGTTCTTATCCCTTATAACTAAACTGTGCACTCAAGAGTCAAACTACTCATCAGTGAAAGAGAAAAGGCTATGTCTTACGAAAGCGATTAAGATTCTGGAGTTTCACCTGACAATCCGTTTGCCTTTGACTGACTCAATGATTAAGGGGCTCCTCTTCATTTCTCTGTCCCCGTGACCCAATTGACCTCTTGACCCCACCCCCCAGCTGAACACCATTCCCTCGTCTGCCAGAGCGAGGGCGTGGCCGTAACCAACGGCGATGTGGTCCAGTCGCATCTGGAATGTTGCCGGAATGTGGTGAAGCAGTAGAGAAACTCCGTCCAGATAGTAGAGAAGAGATCTGGGGACAGTATAATGTACGCATAATAGGAATAATAATATGCAAATGAATATAAATAATATGCACTATGCATAAACCCATAGTGCCTTTCATCGTGTTGCCCATTGTTCAATGATGGAGCTTATGGGTATCTCTTTTTAAAAAGCAGAAAATCATGTATAAAGTATTAGCGCCTAGTATTACAACCCCTATTATGGACTTATGAAGGCTCTGGACACATTATGTGCGTCCGTGGCTGGTTAAGATTGTGTTACAGTAAAATGGTATATACTGTGACAAAACCAAAGAAGACAAGAAAACAACTCTATGCCAATGCTTCACTGATTCCTTATCCCAATATGCTGACTATAATATGGTGGTTTCCGTCAAATTCCCGGTAAAAACAGTGGAAAGTTGCTCTCTAGGCAAATTATCTCCCTCGTAAGTTCCCAGTACACACATACTTGGTGTGAGTCTTTTCCGTCTCATCTTTGTCCTCGCTGTCATCGTAGTCATCAGAGGCAAACTGACTGGCCAGGAGAGGCAGGGAGGTGGTGAAGATCTCCTTGGCCGATGGTCTGTCTTCCGGATTCTTACTCAACATTTCGGTTATCTGGGCAAGTGGCAACATTATCAGTCAGTCAGAGAAATTCATATCTATCAACAGTAAGCTTTATTCAGGTGTGTGTTTCAGACTTTTGATAGGGGCCTTAGCAGCTTCAGATGTCTCAGGAACTCGACCACTTCTACACCAGACCACAGTACAATATGAATCTGGCCCTTTGCTACGTATCTACAGTACAAGTGTTTGGCATCAAGCTAGTACATCATTCTAAAAAACAAAGCCGTCGCACACCAAAAGTGCATGAATAAACAGGTACATAGCATAACTATTACATGAAGCATAAGCAACCAGCCATGAAAAATCTATCTTGCGGGTCAGACCTTTAATGCAGGGAAGTCTGGCTTACAACACTATAAAGCTAGTACATTGTAGGCATCAAAGAGACGAGGAAGACAAGTAACAGTGCACACCAGTTGCTTCAAGTAGTCGCTGTAGTCCCCTTTCACGGGTGCAAAGGACACCTCCACAATCTTATGGACCAGAACTGGGAGATTGGTCCCTTCGAAAGTCTTCTGGAGGCACACCATCTCGTACAGGATGCAGCCCAGTGCCCAGATGTCTGATTTAGCATCATAGTGTTTCCCTTCACACTGCGAGGTTGAAAATGAGTTAGTTTTAACTGAGAATTGCAAGTGACCAAAATAATAAGTATGTGGACATAAAACCATTTGAACTCAAATCACATTTTGCTTGAGAATCTCCACACACAATCTTTAATTTCCCTCACAATCTCAGGAGAGATGTAGTAGGGAGTGCCCAGCACCGTGTTGGCCTCTGGACATGTGGCTGACAGGATCTTGGAGATCCCAAAGTCTCCCAACTTCACAATCCCTTCCTTGGTCAGAAACACATTGGCAGTCTTTAGATCCCTGCACAGATGCAATGTTGTGACACATCAGGGAGGTCTTACCTTCTACATGTTCGATACTTGCAGTAAAATAAACGTGCTCAAAAAACGGTCACGCGTGGCCAGTAAGACCTGTGCAGTATGTTGTGGTCGTGGAGATACTTGAGAGCGTCCACCATCTGTGAGAACATGGTCACCACATCCTTCTCCGTCAGCGTCTTGTTCTGACCCATCTGCTTCTGCAGAAACTGGGCCAGAGTCCTGCCAGGAGGAGATGTGGATTTCGAGCTTTAGCAAATATTAATTATTTTGGGAGCTTCTGCAGTAAAAGTACACCTCAATAACTTTATTGCACATTATCAAACCAACTCCTATTGCTATAACAAACTCACCCCCCACAACCCACCCTTGATTATTGCATAAATTTGAACTTCTATTCATTTGCCAGCCCCTATAATAATTCTATACTCACCCTCCGTCAGCATACTCCATCTCAATCATCAGGACTCCATCCTCCTCAAAGTTGTCGTAGTAGCTGATGATGTTGGGATGGTCGAGTCGACTGAGGATCTGAGCCTCGTTCATGGCAGAGTAGCGCTCAGTCTTGGTCAGGTCCATCAAGTTTATCTCCTTCAGAATCACGTGAGACCCGTCATCCTTCTTACGGTAGAGCACTGCTGCCCCATATGCCCCTGTAATAATTACACAGAGATTGCAATTATTCCTTATTAACGAGCTGGTTATTGGTTCAATGAGGTTAGGAGAGAAGGGGAGAAAATCTTGTTTAGGGATTCGAACACATGCAGGCCTAGACACTAACATTCTTTATAGTTAACGTGATCATCATCCAATCCAATACATGTAACCATGTACATCAGAAGATTAGAGAGCCACACTGTATTATACTGGTAATGCATACAGACGGACAGAGTCTCAACTGGACCTTTGCCAACTGTTCTAATTCTCTCAAACAGTGCCATCGTCTGGTGAGCAGTCGCCGACCAATCCTTCAGCTTCTCGGTGTCGAAATACAGAGTACCAATCCTTGAATACCTGCACAATCACATAGCCATAGTGTTGCACCACATTCTGCATTGGTTGAGCGCCAGAGCCCACATGTGTAGAAATAGTCGTGTGCCTTAGAAGCCCTCCACCTCTCTGCCTAATTGTCTTTCTTTCTTTATGAGTTTACATGTAGTGGTAAGGACATGGGGCTATCTATGGGTATGCATAAAAAAGATAACTGAATGGCACATCTGTCCAGACAGACATCTATGGACGTAGTAGTACGTACAATGCCAAACTGTATGCTGATCCTCTGAGTATGTGAGGCACAGCACCCAACATCTCTCTACGCACTTTTACGGGATCGTAAAAAAATAAAACTGAACATTATGAACTAATACAGCTTATCCATAGTTTGTTTTAGGCAAAAAAAACAAGTCCTAAAGGTTGAAAAAAATATTTCGGGCCAGCCCTTCATCTCTCCAGACAGACGTATACGGACGCAGTGCTATGCCGAACTATACGCTGCCCTTCGAGATGCATGTGGGTCAATGGTAGATTCGTGGGTAAGGGGAGGAACCAGAGCTGTTCCCAGCCAATGCTCTGGACCACCTGTCAGTTTCAGTGCGGGTCCGGGATTCGAACCGGGCACCTTATGTGACAGTACCCACATCTCTAACCACTTAGCCACTTGGGCTGGCCACGAGAACTGATGAAAAAAGTCTCCTCTTATACCAACACTCATATGACATCATTATTTAAAAAAATGCACCAGACAGGGATCGAACCACTGACCTCAGGATCTAGTGTGCGAGTCCTTACCCATCAGACCACACCCAATACTTTAAGGGTAGATTAAAAAATTACTGTATATACTTGCAGCATATATTATGCGAGCAAACTGCATTGTAGTCAGTAGTGCCGTAGACACACACACACACACACAGACCAAGTACTGTAGCCCTCGCCACACTGCACATGTATGCCAACCAACTATAATTATGTATCACCTGCCAGTTTCAGTAGAACCAGCCTCAGTGATCTGAGCTCCCTGTATATCACTGTAGGCAAACACGGGGACTCCCAGTAGGCTCTCCATGTCTGATATCAACTGCTCCCCCTCTTGATTCTGTGCAACTGCCAAGACATTGGGACATTCATTCACAGAAGTTACCGTAATCATGCATGAAGGGGCAATGTTTGCGAATTTCGTGGCAGTTGGGAAGCCAAGCCTGCAAACTTTTTGTAGCTATCCCACAAGAGTTTCTTAGAGTTCACTGCCGCATTTTGTTGCAACTGAGAGTCTAATATGATATATTATTGTGTAAGATGTAATGTAGTAAAGTGGATGTAGCTATATATAATATACCTGGACAGTTGAGAATGTCGATTCTGGCATACTGGCTGTGGCTGTGAAGATAGCTGGAGACAAGAGTCTCAAAGAACTTGCGAAGCTCCTCGTCTTCTCTAAAACTTGCACACGTCACAGTCTGCGATAATCCACAATAGAGATATAAGTACTCAAGCTAACATGACACAAGAACATTTACTGAGAAAGTCGGTGCAGGTTTTCTGTCGAGTAGCTAATTCACTAGAGACCGGCTATAATCTCTCTTGCGTTCGCGAATACAATGGATACCTTCTGTGAGCAGAGTTTGAAGCAGCCTGGACTCCCGTGGACGACCAGAGCAACGCTGAGCGCCTTCCTGCCCCTCAATCTCTCTCCCACCGCCCTCAGGAGTCGACTAGGGCTCGTAGTCTCGTACGCGTAGCGCACAGTTGCCGTCTCGAAGTTGGCGCAGGTCTCCAGAGCGCCGGCGGACTTTACTCGGGAGGAAATGAGGGCGAGGGGTGGGGATGGGACCTCTGTCGCATCCAGACGGTCGGACCCGCCGCTGGAAGCCATGATCTGGCCCGACGACGCTGCGGAGAGGGAGAGAGGACCCGGTGGCCAAGGATCACTCCCCTGGCCGTTGGAGTCGCTTCTCGCTCGCGCAGGATCTCCTTCTGCCATCTCTCGTTCATGTGGACGTGCAAAAGCTAAGGGGCGTAGCTCGTGAAAATTGCTTACTCAGCAGATCCCCGCCAGCGCAGCACTCTGACGCGCGTTTTAGTGCACACAAACACGAATGAATGAAAATTGTGATCACGTCAAAATACTGACTGAAACTGTAAGTATAACTGTAAGATGATTGTGTGCATACTTGTCGGGATCTCCAGCACAACGGTCATACTTCGGGTCCCTCGCCGCCAGGAACGAGCATAGCGACGTTGTTTCCGTTGAGAAGGATCTGATCCAACTTTGTTATCTTCCTCCCCTCTTGAGTGTTCTCAAATTCCGTCACCTCCTCCAGAACCATGTTGACGTAATCGTCGAAACCCAGTAACGTTCCCACTATCTCCTTCTCCGATTTCATGATCACGTGAATACGGGACCCGATACACTTGTCCACCAGCTCGAGTGGCAGCAAAGAGCTCTGGTTTGGAAAAGACATGACTTCTGACTTTGTGCCCACACGCGCGTGCAGTGCAAAGTTCAAAGACACTCGGTGCCCAACGCGCATGCGCACAACGTAAAGTTAACCCTTTGTCGAGGAACAACAACGTGTCACTTCTGTGTCTCGGTGTCTCGTCGCTTGTCGGACATATGGCTGATCCTGCAGAGTCTCCCAGTGCGTCTCCGGACGACGCTTTCGGACGTCCGCACGCACAGCAGGTTTCGGACAGTCTTCAGATGTGGATCTTGATTCCGGGCATCTTTCTTCTTATGATCGCAGGTTGGTTTGACACACTCGGCCAACACTTCACTCCATCCTACCGTAGTTTCGCCGCGAGGTTAGCCACTCTCTGTAAATTGGCACAGGGCGGTGTCTTTACTAGAGCTTTACTGGGTAGAGTATGAGTGGTTACTTTTTCATCATTGAGCTCAGCAGTAGACGTTGGTGGTGGCTATAGTAGCTAAGAAGCGTAGTAAATAGCTACTACCTATGGTTCCTTCACGCAGCACATTTTACTGCCTAAGTTTTTGTGTGTGTTTTTGGGTAAAGATAAACACATAAATTTGCCTCCTCGGGTTATTCACACCGAATGCAGAATTTTATGCTATTCGTCCTCAATATCCTCACGCATTATAATTTAGCACATTTTTTTATCGCTAAGGTTGAACCCACGTAATATCTGCAGATAAGCACCTATATTGTTTGCCTCTTGCGTTCCCCAGGTTATTTCATTTACCGACTCCTGTCCAGTCAGAGTGAGAAGGTCAAGAAACAGGAAGAGAAGAAGCGACAAAAGCAGGAAAGGAGAGAAAAGAAGAAGACTAGGTGATGCTCCGCCACTCGAAGCCCCCTTCAACACAATGGGTCTTTGTGGCTACAGAACTATTCACACCTCCGTCTCACTAATTGGGACCTTTTTGCTCTGTTTATTTTTGAGGGGTTATTTTGACTATGGTGGAACATTAAACGGCCACCGACATTACTTATACACGCACAACTAACACTCAGCACTTGATAGCTGCTGCAGTTGGCTATATACAGCATAATAGACAGACACTGCAGTTTGCCAAAAACCTAAAATCCTTGAACTGCCCAAGCATTTGGCTGTCATTGGTACAGTAACTAAATGTGGGAGTAAATACAGTGGAACTCATCTTTTTTTTTAATGGACATCCCCTAAAATGAAGACTCATCTTATAAGGACACCATTTGCTCTCCCAAGAACAAAGACACCTCACTAATATCTTTTGTCCTATGATAGGGTTCAATCGCACATCAGTTTCTACAGGCAGCCTAGGTAACTGATTGTAAGCATGTAAAACATTTTCAAAGGACATTAACACAGAAAACGTGTATGGTAGCAGATATGAAGTGAGTGTTAGAGTGGCGGTAGGCTTCTGTGTTTCCCTCTCTTCCCTCCTCTCTTTCCACCATGCACCAGATCCCCCCTCTCCCTCCCACCACCACCACCTGTTTGTGTCTGCTGACTGATTTTCTCCAGAGGGTCCCCCGGAATAGGTTGGAGGGCCCCCGTATGAAACCCGCCACTCTGTCGGTTCGGAGTCACATAGACTTGCCTCTGTTTCAAGTGGCGCGAGTGGTAGAGCTCCGTTTTGAAATCGGGCGATGATTCCAGGGGCTTTGGTTTGTTGGGGAGTCGTGGGAGGATTGATTTCTTGCGGAACGGCGAGAGAGAGGAGGAGGGGGAGAGGGAGGGGAGAGCAGTCAAACAGTTGGTACTGGATTGGATATCGAACATTGACCTAGAAGGACTTGCGGCTTGGATCAGCGAAGGGGAGAGAGAGAGTTTCGTTGATCGATCACCGAACAAGTTTCTGTCGCTCTTGGTGAACTCTCTTCCCGTGAACACACTGCTGTTGTCTGATTCGGACTCTGAAGATAGATAATCGCTGAGTGTCTTTATCCCTCTCTCTTGCCTCTGACGGCGATAGTAGCTCTTCTTTCGTGAGACGGGAAACAGGAATTTCAGGTCCGACTCCAAATAACACCCACTCCTTTTCATCCACTCCCCCGCAGTAGTGAAGTTATCAAGGTCCCTAATTGTAGGGGAGGCCCCTCCTTTGACGAGAATACGGGCAGCAGACAAGTTGCCTCGCTGACAGGTTAAGAGCAGTGCGGTTAGACCCTTCATGTTCCTGTGGTCGATGTCACAGCCCTGCTGCTTGGCCGACTGTACCACGAGTCCTACTGTGTCTTCATTCCCGTTCTCAGCTGCATAGGTCAGGGCAGTGTTACCACTGCAGTCCTGCAGATATTGGATATCATTTGTGGAGTTTGCAAATGACGGGATGTCACACTAACAGCCACAAACTAAGACATCTTTGTCCCTATTATATAAATAATTTGAAGCTTGTATAATTATGTTCACTGTTCTATGGGAGAGGTTATGAAAAAGTAAATGGATCAGCAACTGCATACACTAGGGATTTGACAAAGAGACTCAAAGAGCTACCTCTTTCCCCACAGCAGCACCGGCTCCCAGGAGCAGGAAGCAAGTCCCAGCATCTCCAGCCATGGCCGCTCTCATAAGCGCCGTCTCTCCAACGCTGTTTTCGGCGTCTACTCTAGCGCCGCTGCCCAGTAGGACACTAGCCAGGAGGTGGCGGGACTCCGGCGAGGGGAGACTGCAGGCTAGCATGAGAGCTGGGTCTCTGGTCGAGTGTGAGGAACTGGCATTGGGGTCAGCACCGGAGGACAGCAGTCTGCGCACCACCTACAGAAAATCAGGTAAAGACACAACTGAAGGCAGTGTCTTTATACGGAAGGCGCACCTTCCCGCAGCATGTCAGTCTAGTTCTTCCAACACATAGTTCACTTTTGAACTTTAGCTATTCTGTAATCTTGCAAAAAGCAATGCCTAATGTTACACAATTTCAATAGTACTCCTTACCGAGATTTTCTCCTGCGAGACTGCCTCTATCAGCTGAGCGTTTACGTCTATCACGTGAGACGTCGTCCCTCTACGCTGCCTTCCCTTCTTTGCAGGTCGGTGCGAAGGAGAGCCTTCGACAGTGGACAGTGGCACAGGCATTTCTCCCTGAACTGTGAGCCGGCCGGCCCGGCACTGCAAAAGGGGTGGGGCTCGTTGCTGCGTATCTCTAATTTAGCGCACTCGGCCGTCGCACACAACGTAATATTGAAAATCCACTAGGAGGATCCCTGATATGATGGCCATGAGCAAGCCACTGCAGGAGGTGTCAACGTTCCTGGACAACTACTGGAACAGAGATCAGGTGTTTCGCACGCTCCAATTCACCTCCACGCTCTGCGCCGGCGCCCTGGATCAACGCCTGCCCGTCGCTTCCGCCCGATTTGCTGCGCTGGCGTCCTCCGTCTCCAGCATGAGGACGACACTGAGGCTGCTAGACGACATACCCAATCTCGCACAGACCCTAGCCGGCTGGAAAAGACCAAAGGTGCGTACATACGTACAGGTCATATCGCATGCGCTACATAAAACAACACGCATGCGCTTGTGTAATTTCCACAGGATTCTTCCGTCGTTCTAAAAATCGCGGACTTCCTCTCCTCCCTCTCTGGCCTCCTCTACTACCCAACGGAGCACCTGGCATGGGCCACGGACCTCAAAATTCTACCATTCAAATCCTCTTCGACACTGGAACTTTTGCACCGTGCTGTGGATGACTTCTCTCGTCTCTTCGTGCGTCCGTAGCCTCTTTACACTGTGGCAAACTGGCCAAGAGATCAAGTCACTGAGTAATAAACAGCAGCTTTCATCTGAGATTGATGTAACTCAGGCTCAAGTGTCCACTTTCACAGCACCAAAGTCAACAAGTGGTAGTGATGGTGGGAGTGGGCGAAAACGGGTGACTTTTCAAGAGCGGAGCAGTCCCAATCAAAATATTGCCACCCGTCTAAGAGTGCAACGCAGTTTATACACACGAGCTGCTATGGGTGTGGTCCAGAGTCTGAGTGACTTGGTGATGGCCGTTCATTTCTTGCCGCGTGGTGCACTGTGGGGAGGGAGATTGTCCACTATGCTGGTAGGGCTCTTTGGAACACTTTCCTCTCTACTAGGCCTGTATAAGATTCTACCACACACCTCTACTAGAACAGTTTGATAAGTCCGTACGTAATGACTGTGCATGAATCATAATTATGTGACAGCAAAGCAAGGTCAAAGCAAAAACAAATTTTTTCAACTTAAGGGGATAAAAGAAAAATTTAACTCCCTACGGTTCCTATATTTTATACTGTCATTTCTTCATGAATTTTATATTTGATACACTGCGATTTCTCGCGCAGAGAGCTGAAGGCACGTATAAAGTCTGTGGGCATATAGATATGAGCCCATAGACTATTGCTAGTGTGTTTTGAAGGCCTACAAGTTATTCTCACAGAGTTTTGAGGCGTTGTTGTGTACGCGGATCACGTGAGATTTGACCTGTGCCAGCTATATATTAGCGTCTACCGACGCTCTAATAAAGTGTCTACCAACACTTCCTAAAGTCTCAGTGATCAAACACAATAGTAATCTTTCTGTCCACTTTTAACCCTTTGGACGCCATGGTATCCCCTTAAATAAGCAGAAAATGATATATAAAGTATTAGCGCCGTTATTATAACCCCCATATAAATTCTTATGGACTTATGGAGGCTCTGGACACATTTATGTGTCGGTGGCTGGTTAAGTGTCACGTGACATACTTGATGAGCTCTATTCTGATAAGTCTACAACAGCAGTGATAACTAAAATACTACAGTTAAACAATCAGAGTCTTGTGTTCCCAGGTATACAGCTCTGCAAGTTAACAAGAGATGCATTCCTCTCGGAATACATTTTGAAAGCCAAACCCGGTCCATTGCAGCATTCTTCTTCTGACCAAACTACATATCCATTGTCACTGCAATCATCCTTTAAATGGCAGATTAGCATCATGTAGTAGTCGTCATCTGTGTTAGGATCAAAGTCAAAGTGTAACATGTACAATAATTATTCAGATACCCATGCTGAGCTATAGCCGTCTTCAACACGTGGCTTTTAGGTTTTTCGAGCATTCCCTGAGTTTTTCCAAGACGTCGAAGAGCGTTTCCTCCAGTACTTCCTGGTCGTCCAACAGGTAGTCCCTGGGGTCTTCCCCGAGGCCTTGCAGCTGGCCATGAGGGGTAGCAGAGGGCCACCTCCAGGCAACACAGGAAGACAACCAGAGTGACAGCTGTGAATATCTTCATTTTCTCCTCTCACAATCGGGTTGGTCTCTTCGGCTAGCGGTTCCTCTTTTATACCTTCAACTGCTCATCAGCTGTGTATCACGACACTATATATACTTTCCTTTACCAGTTGAGGACCATGCTTTGATCATTGATGTGCTGATGTCATTGAGTGTAAGATGCTGCTTCTGTATAATTAAAGCAAAGAGCGTGCGCTTCAACTGTTTGGGAAATGTAATACTCTTGTTAGCTTTGACTATAATGAACAAAGTGTAGGTTGTTTTATGTGCTGTGCTTTGCTTGATTTAGTCTCACAGGCAGAGCCTCACCTGAGAAGTCTGGCTAGCGAAACTGTGCTTGAAGAATTATTGACAATAATGTGTAAAAACTTTAGGTGTTTCTGTCCCGTGCTTTGTTCACTTTCAGCCAATAGAGGCAGCCCCCCTTCTTGGGTTGAACAACGGCTGCTGCAGAGCACCAGGTGCCTGCTGTCTCTAATGATCCACTAATTCACCAAGGGGTAGACTGTATAACACAGCTTCACTTTGTCGGCTACCATGCCAAAAAAGCTGAAGACTGAACCTTTGTGGTGTGTGGCTGCCTCATGGCTTCGATTATAGAGCCACGTGAGATTTCTGCAGCTGCTGTTGTTCAACCCTTTCCCAGTGGACCACTAATTCAACAAGGGGTAGACTGTATAATACCGCTTCACTTTGTCGGCTACCATGGCAAAAAAGCTGAAGACTGACCTTTGTGGTGTGTGGCTGCCTCATGGCTTCGATTATAGAGCCACGTGAGATTTCTGCAGCTGCTGTTGTTCAACCCTTTCCCAGTGGACCACTAATTCAACAAGGGGTAGACTGTATAACACCGCTTCACTTTGTCGGCTACCATGGCAAAAAAGCTGAAGACTGAACCTTTGTGGTGTGTGGCTGCCTCATGGCTTCGATTATAGAGCCACGTGAGATTTCTGCAGCTGCTGTTGTTCAACCCTTTCCCAGTGGACCACTAATTCAACAAGGGGTAGACTGTATAATACCGCTTCACTTTGTCGGCTACCATGGCAAAAAAGCTGAAGACTGAACCTTTGTGGTGTGTGGCTGCCTCGTGGCTTCGATTATTGAGCCATGTCAGATTTCTGCAGCTGCTGTTGTTCAACCGGAGAAGGCAGATCACCAGAGAACAGAGTAGCTACGCCTGCCAAGCGTGGAACCCCCCTCCCCCCATCTTACCAAGGCCACAGAGAAGCTTGAGAAAGTGTGCAACGGTATGCTCCAAGTTTTAAACAGTGAGATCCAGATTTCCATCCTTATACTCTTCATCTCTGAAACTCCCACACGTTGGAAATATTTTTGATTTGTCATACTTCAACCTTCGCTGCACATGTGGGCTGACGGTCAATGAAAGCATAATCCTCACAAAGATAGATTATGCACAGACACATCACGAAGAGAGGTAGTTTTTTTTCTAATGCTAGTCTTTCAAAAGCAGAATATCGCGCAAGTGAAACTCTCCTATGTACGCACCAGAAATGGTAATGTACACATAGGGCAATTGTGTATACGAAAGTTGGTAATTCTGAAATAATATGTTGAGAGGCTTCTTACACATGCAATACTACTGGCCATGCATTAACGGGGAAAGGAAGCCTAAAATAATACTGCAAAAGAATGTACAATTTCATGGCAAAAGTTTAGTGTGAATTGTGTAATTTGCTAAAATGTGTGTGAAATCCCACTTCAATAGTCACATGAATCATTTCTTCTTCTTATCTTCATGCGCTTTTGAGGATCCGTTTAGTTTTGCTGTTTTTGTACCACCGTTTACGTGAAGAGTCGCGGCCTCACTCTCTCCCTCTTCATTCTTGATATCACGAACATCTGATAGCTCCTCTTTGAGGAACAAGACTTTCACCAGTAGCTTGATTATCAGTGAGAACCAAAAGATCTGAAAGAAGACACAGTATTAGCAACTAATCAAGATACTTTTCAGTAAGTTACAAGTGTAAGGTTCTCGTTGGACCATTCTCTCTCGAGCAGGCGCAGTACACATGAGGTAATACATGACAATGAGGGTGTGGCATGACAGTGTGTGAGTCTATGAATGTATTCATACGATGAAAGGGTAAGCATGATACTAGGTTCAACATTGCTATACAAGTACGGCTGGATTTCGACTTGCCCTGTCATGCCGTCCGTGCTGCGTCATGTCGTGCCATGAAGATAAATCTATCCTCGTGGTGCGGCAAAACGGCAGGCGCGACTGGGCAATCTGACATATTACTATTGTGAACCTAGCCTTAAAAGGCACTACGTCCCACCCAAGTAAGGCACTCCATCATGCTTCAAAGCAGGACCAACTTGGAAGGTTATTCTCAAGAAAATTTCTACCCAGGGACAAAATACAGGACCTTTTGCCGTGAAATTATTTATTTGCCACTAAATCACATGTTTTCGACTCGCTCAACAATTTTCCCAGCTGTATTGGTTTAAACGAATCTGCTGTAAATACTTGTTAGCCGTTACCAAAAACTTCAGGCCACGGGAAGGGTGTGGCCTACTGGAACCAATTTGTTTTGCTAGGGTGCATTCGCCCATGCAAGTCATGCACTCCAATGTATACAGTATATACCTGCATGGCAAGCAGGGCTAGTAACATGAGGTTGAAGGGAAGGTAGAACGGTCCGTTTGGGTAGACTAGGAGACAGATGTAGAGGGCGGAGTAGAGAGCCTTTGTTACAAACCAGTAGATCCTGAAGAGAAAGCTGTGGGTGATGATGATTGTGTGTTAGTTAGAGCCACAATTATAATGTTACACAACAGAATACATAACACGATTATATGTAATGCTAAACCTGCGAATGGTCCTGTAAAAGCCATAGGTACCAAGTTTTACTTCTGCTCAATCGATAAACATGTGTTCCCTCAGTAGTTGGCGATCAAATGCTGTCACCCATTCACAAACACCGAGTATGGTTTACTATTAACATCATTGATTATTCATGAGGGCCACTATAGTGGCCCACCATGTGCAACGTGTTAAATGGGCAACGAATGCCCCTATACAAGTACTGCAATAGTGGGACTCACTATTCAGTAGCAAACAAGAGGAAGCCAATGTTGGCACATGTCACCACCCAGTGAACAGCCTTCCCGCCCTGCTCCTTGAAATAGAGAATGGACTTTGACCCCTCCAGGAACACGTCTCCGATATCGTGGATGAAGATGAGTAACACCCCAATGATGTGGAACCTGTATGATGATAATTCGAAGCATTGTCAACACGACCATCTCGTTTTAGATCCCGGTGATTTGAAATCGCGCAATTTCATTGGTCCAAACGCGGGATCTATTTTCCGTAGATCCCGCTGCCCCGGACGACGGGATCTATTGGGGAGCGAGCGTGAAGACGCGATAGGTAAGAGACTCGAGCGAGGTTTCAGCTACCAGCGGCGAGCCAGAAACGGTAGGCGAAAGCTACAGCATTCCCTCGTCGTCCGCCGTGTTTCGCGGAAAAGGGCTCCGCCCACTCTACGCGCACGTATCTGCCAGAGCGTTCGAGGATTGGCTCGCGGCGAGCATGAGTATGTCGAGTTCCTTCTCGGAGTCTTCCTGGTCTAGACAAGATAGTAACAGCTCGCCTGGCGCGGCCATATCTTCGCAAACAGTTTGAATGGATCTAAACCGGTTAGACGCGTCGCCACGGTAACTACGCGTGGTAGAGTGCCTCGGGCTCCCTAGTAGCGCCCTCGCTGCGCTCGGGACGCCGACAGCTCGGGAGCCCTCGGCACTCTACCACGCATAGTCACCTCGGCTCCGCATCTAACCTATATATAGAAGAGCAAACACATAGGCAGTGGTTTTCTATCCACACAATAATATCATACATAATGGAATGTGTTTAAATGTAATGTGGAAGTACATAAGGGCTAATTTTAGAAATGTTACTAAAGATAGAACAAAACAACAAGGCACAGTGAAAGAAGTTCTATTTTAGTAACATTTCTAAATTTAGCCCTTATATACTGCAAGCTTGGCAGCTGGCTCGCTCCCATTCACTAAGAATGGACATGCATTCATGAACCAATAGTGGTATACTGTGTCCCAGGATTCTATTTCCTTGTCCGCATAGACTCTGCCAAAAGCTGCAACCCTCACCAATAGAACCATAGCCTACACAAACTCACACAGACAGATCCTTCCTAACACATTACAGTCAGCCTAGAGGTTCAAACTAACACATTACAGTCAGCCCAGAGGTTCAAACTAACACATTACAGTCAGCCCAGAGGTTCAAACTAACACATTACAGTCAGCCCAGAGGTTCAAACTAACACATTACAGTCAGCCCAGAGGTTCAAACTACATAGAGTGGGGCTTTAGCTCAGGGAACGTCTCAAATATGAAAGGGGCTGGTACTTATTGCACTCACTCCAGGCAAGCACTCTGCAATTCACATACCATAATTATTCAAAGCCATGCCTTGTATACATATTAACATACTAGGAATGCGCACGCGCATATTTTGCCTCACGCCTGCCAGCCAATCAGTAAACAGTCCGACTGAAGCTGCTCGTGCGCGTGCTCTACTGACTGCGCGCGAAGCCAGACTTCCTACGAATCTGCGCGCACGGCAGAAGCTAGACTTCCTACGAATGATGGAAGTTGACATTCCTAAGCATGACTAATTGGCATTCTTAAGCGTGACCGACACGTACGTACGTACGTACGTACGTACGCATATCTACAACCCGGAGTAGTTGCCTCACGCTAACGCGCTCGGCAATTATAATGTACACCAGCAGGGTTTCAGCCAGGGAGCAGGGATCAACTGACCACTTGCCACACATTGACTTCCAAAAGACTATACTATGCATCTATTACACACATTTGCCTAAGTATATACACTTCTGTAAAGCAGGAAGAAAGGAAGGGGAAAGAAAAAAGGAGGGAATAAAAAAAGTAGGGTAAAACCCCTGCTTCCCTGCTTTAGCTAAAACCTTGACCAGGCAACCAACCCTTCCTATATACTCCGTCTTCAGTTCTGTCTTCAGTTCCGTCTTCCTGTTCCTAGCATTTACCAATCTTCGATCTTACTCTGGAGAAGGCTACTTTTGGATGGTTCCATGTGAGTGGCCAGTACCAGTGCAGACGTGACATGGTGAGTATGAGAATAGTCTGTACTTTGTGTGGGTCGCTATTTGTCAGTGCATCTTTGTCGGGCAACCTCCGAAAATGTAAAAATCAGACTTCCCGGTAATAGCTGCTTAAATTTTTTTAATCACTCAGGCAGCAATTGTCGCCGTCACACAAGAGCCACGCGCCGCTGTTCCGCCTTTTATACGCAAACTGCACCGTTTAAGATATCACAGCAAAGCTAAGCTAAACATAGTTCAAATTTTAGTCTCTCTCCACACACCATTACCTGACGGAGTAGCAGCCGACAATGAGAGCGATAGTTAGGATATGATGGAGTATCAGGACCGTGAAGTCTTTCCTGCGAGCCTCCAGGAACAGCATGCCGTAGGTGTAGTGGATGTAGAACCCCACTTCAAATGTGAACAGCCAGTATATACTGCTCTCCACCGGTCTCCCTGGGTACCAGGCTGTGGTGGTGGGGAGAGGATATATACACACAGATTTGTTACGGGACATAAGAAAGTGTGTGTACATATGCCGCGGTGTCCTTCTGCATGAAAGAACTGCTCTCGGGGAAAAAGAAGGTGTCCTTATTAGAGAAGTGTCCCCGTTTCCTTAGAGACACTGTACGTGTGTGTGGTTTGTATATGGGCACAAAACGCTCTTCGGGGCAGTGTTGGTGAGCGAACACGAGTAGTTCAATTTACCACACACTATTTGGAACCATTACGTGTGAAAACTACGAGGTAGAAAGGCAAAGGCACAACAAGCAAGTCGAGTACACCCAGGACAGCTCTTTTTTTCCAAGAAATAAAAGAGGTGCCCTAAAGAAGAGGTGTGGGAAACATTGTGTGCAGTGGCAATTGGTCACACACAAAAAAATCTCACATTGAGACAGAGAATGTGCAGTGATGAAGGGGGTAACACGCAAATCAATCGTACTCAAAGGGTTAAAGTGGAAGACTCACTGCTCCAGTGGGAACCCAGGTCGGCCAATATATCGAGGTCATATGTGATGTAGGCCGACCAGCACCAGGTGATGAGGTACACGGAACATTTCCAGATGCTCTCTGGCAATTTATTGACGCTCTCATCAGTCAGTTTGTAGCTCTTGGCCAGCGGCTGTGAGTGTGGAAAACATGGAATATACAATATAATAAATGTATATGGACATCATACAGTCGTTTTACACATCAGAGAACAAGGAACAAGGAAATGTGACAGCACATGAGGGGCGAACTAAAGGGCCCAGTGGAAGAATGCTATTTATTGATGTACTTACAGTTAGCCCTAATAAACGGCCATAATCAAATTTCCGGCAAAACTGCCGTACAGGCATTGCAGTCAAGGTTAACTCTACAATCTCACTGCACCTGTATTCAACTATCTTGCTCTTCGAACCCCAATCTCACCTCACCTCTCACCTCTCCGGAATTTACTCACCCCCCCGAAAGGGTGTCAACAATTTTGTATTTTTTGTAGGCACATGAGTAAAACAAGAGACAAACAAACTATCCATAATACCTTCACTACAGTTGGAGTATGGAATAGTAAGGTACTCACTCTATCATGCATAACCTATCCCTAGCTCACTCTTTCAACACTTATCTCATACCTACTTGCCCCTCCAATAAGGGTGTCAATGATTTTGCATTTTTTGTAGGAACAAGAATGGAAAAAGAGACAAACCAACTATACATAATACTTTGACTATAGTTGGAGTATGGAATGGTAACATCTTCTATCTTGCTACACCTATCCCTATCTCGCCCATATTTCGCTGTCCCTAATAAAGCTGTCAACGATTTCTCATTTTTTGTAGGCACATGGATGGAAAAAGAGACAAACCAACTATACATAATACCTTGACTAGTGTTGGAGTATGGAATGGCAACATCTTCTATCTTGCTACACCTATCCCTATCTTGCTCAAATTTCGCTGTCCCAAATATGGGGTCAATGATTTCGCACTTTTTGTAGGCACAAGGGTGGAAAAAGAGACAAACCAACTATACATAATACTTTGACTACAGTTGGAGTATGGAATGGTAACATCTTCTATCTTGCTACACCTATCCCTATCTTGCTCAAATTTCGCTGTCCCAAATATGGGGTCAATGATTTCGCACTTTTTGTAGGCACAAGGGTGGAAAAAGAGACAAACCAACTATACATAATACTTTGACTAAAGTTGGAGTATGGAATGGTACCATCTTCTATCTCGCTGCACCTATCCCTATCTCGTTAAAATTTTGCTGTCCTTAATAATGGTGTCAACGATTTCGCATTTTTGGTAGGCACAAGGGTGGAAAAAGAGACAAACCAACTATACATAATACTTTGACTACAGTTGGAGTATGGAGTGGTAACATCTTCTATCTTGCTACACCTATCCCTATCTTGCTCAAATTTCGCTGTCCTTAATAATGGTGTCAATGATTTTGCATTTTTGGTAGGCACAAGGGTGGAAAAAGAGACAAACCAACTATACATAATACTTTGACTACAGTTGGAGTATGGAATGGTAACATCTTCTATCTTGCTACACCTATCCCTATCTTGCTCAAATTTCGCTGTCCCAAATATGGGGTCAATGATTTCGCACTTTTTGTAGGCACAAGGGTGGAAAAAGAGACAAACCAACTATCCATAATACTTTGACTACAGTTGGAGTATGGAGTGGTAACATCTTCTATCTTGCTACACCTATCCCTATCTTGCTCAAATTTCGCTGTCCTTAATAATGGTGTCAATGATTTTGCATTTTTTGTAGGCACAAGAACGGAAGAAAAGGCAAACCAACTATACATAATACTTTGACTAAAGTTGGAGTATGGAATGGTACCATCTTCTATCTCGCTGCACCTATCCCTATCTCGTTAAAATTTTGCTGTCCTTAATAATGGTGTCAACGATTTCGCATTTTTTGTAGGCACAAGGGTGGAAAAAGAGACAAACCAACTATACATAATACTTTGACTACAGTTGGAGTATGGAATGGTAACATCTTCTATCTTGCTACACCTATCCCTATCTCGCCCATATTTCACTGTCCTTAATACTTAATACTTTCACTACAGTTGGAGTATGGAATGGTAACATCTGCTATCTTGCTACACCTATCCCTATCTCGCCCATATTTCACTGTCCTTAACAAGGGTACAGTATATACTTAATACTTTCACTACAGTTTGAGTATGGAATAGTCTATCGTGCTGCACCTACGTATAACTCGCTGTCCCTATACCAACACTCACGGTAAACACTCGTCTGTTGAGCGCAGCTCTCATCAACGTCAACACCACACATATCAGAGTGGCCCACAGGATCATGCCGGGGTCAAAGTTCACAGACAACTCCAAGGAGTCCCGTGTCTCGCTCAGCCACTGACCCCATGCACCCCACGGACTTCTGCGCACCAGCTGTTGAGGAGAGATAAACAAACTTTGAGATCTAACGGAAACCTGCTTTTGATACACTACCTATCTCGCTGCATGTATAATGGCATCACACTCCAACGTTATATAAAATCACACGTTATATCTCGATTTGCTATGTATTTTGTATAGATAACAAGTGAAGCCCCATTACACGTAAAATATTGCTCGACATATTACTCTATAGAGAAAAAAGAGTGAAAAGGGCTTCTGCAGCTTCAAATGTACACGTGCCCAGCCTTTAGGACTGGGGTGGTGGGTTTATACACAGGCGGGGAGTGGCAGCTTAACCACCCATAGGGACATCCAACCTGAACTAATGAAACATGTTCACAACTACTGAACCAATACCATATTAGGTACTTAGCTGTCCATTTGTGGTGCAACAAAGCGTTGTTGCTTTTACTGTTTACACAACCCTCTCAGTGAGTGTAAGTAATAGTGCGGAACTACAGGGCTCGAGTTGTACATCAATTGAGTCCTCTTAGCCCAATGACAAAGTACGTGTACAAATCCTCTATTCCACCCAATACCCACCCCATTCCCAATGCCCACCCCATTCACACCCACATAATAGGGTGTGGCAGACACACAAACTACTATTATGCGCGCAGTTGTACATGCACTGTACTACGTGTACATATGTTTACTGCTAACATTGGATTTACCGTACGTACAGCGTACCTCGCTCGCCAGCATCCCCGACATGTCACTGATACACGTGACGGGGTTGGGGAAGAGCGGAGATCGCTCTATCGTCACGTTCACCAGCGTGTACGGGTTCCTCATGTTTGAACCTGGGCGAGGGACGGAGGGAATGAAGGACGAAGCACTGTTGACGCGGGCACTAGCTTGTCCAGATCCTGTGCAGCGATCTAGGTCAGGGACACTTCTTGTCGCTTGGGGGCGATATAGCGAGCGCGAGCGATCGGCTGACCGCGTTAGGCGCATGCGCACAACACCCCCAATAATATAAAATTTTGGGCGCGGCTATACTATAGGCAAGTGTATAACATACAACATAGCATTTTCATTGGTGCATAAGATTCTCGGACCGGAGTGAATGTTAGTTCTGTTTTTTAGATTTGGTGTTCTTGTCTTTTTCTTCATCTTCTCTGCTGTCGTTGACCTTATCACCATGGACTAGGATCCTCACCAGCACACGGACTATGAACTTGAACCAATACACCTGACACACAGGACGGACAAAATAAGACAGAGACCACGCAAGTGTGCTACAAAATAATTCAGAGGGTGTGGTCAAGCACACTATACAGTGAAACTCCTGAATAAGGGACACAATGGGGTCATCGAAGTACTCAGAGGTGTCACTTACCCGTAACCATCCATACATACATATATATTAGAACAAGTGTTTTTATTATAGAGAGATGTCCCTTATTCAAGAGTGTCCTTTATAACACAGTGAATTAGACCCAAGCGAACCAGGTTTTCTTTCACACATCATGCCACATAACCTTATTCTGTATTGGAGTTTCGTATTAGAGAGTGAATTAGACCCAATCGAACCAAAGCTTTCTCTCTTACACTTCACTACTTACTTACCTGCATGGCATAGAGAGCCAGGAGCATGAGATTGAAGGGGAGGTAGAACGGACCTCCGGGGTAGACTACCACTGACACATGCATGGAGGAGTACATCACTTTAGTCGGGAACCAGTACAGTCTGAACAGCACACTGCAAGGAGAGAGGCAAGGAGGGGGGCAAGGAGAGGGGGTTTATTACAGGAGAGTGCATTGCAATTTCACAAAAAATGTGAAAAGAGGGATTCATTACATTATTAAAATCGCTGTTTACCTCATAAAAGTACATGTTTTTCGTATTCGCTTGTCTACTCTAGCCCTTCCCACTTGCCGTATTTCATTGTAAGAACCGAAAAGAGGGCGGCCTCAAGTAATTTTAGCAGGTATGTTAGGGGAAGTGTAGCTGGAGAGTGCAGTCAAAAATAACCAAAGAAAAGCCCTTGGCACACTACATATAATATGTATAAGTGTATACGCATGCACGGTACCGCTAATTGATGGGCTGGGCTATCTGCTACTCACAGTGAGACTCATGATATCAAGCTCGCTGAGTCTGTAAAAGACAGACATATATAGAGACAGACACACAAACTAACAAACCAAGTACCGTAACCCTCGCTGCGCATGCACCGAAGGTTAATCACAGATAACAGGGCCTAACTTTTTGTACTTTTTCAACAGACGTGAGGTAAAGGACAGGCCAACCAACCACCCTGAATACTTTAACTATAGCTGGAGAGTGCAGTGCAAGCCACCCTCAATAGTTATACTGTTAGCATATGCTGGTAAGGTGGCCTAAATTGTTCGTACTTTTAGTAAGTACACGAACGGAAGGACAGGCTAACAAACTATCTTGAATACATTGACTATAGCTGGAGAGTGCAGTGTAAGCCACCCTCAATCGTTACTGCTAAAAATGGGATGACCTAGATTTTGTACGCATAGGCTGGTAAGGTGGCCTCAATTGTTCGTACTTTTAGTGAGTACACAAATGGAAGGACAGGCTAACAAACCATCCTGAATACCTTGACTATAGCTGGAGAGTGCAGTGTAAGCCACCCTCAATAGTTACTGTTAAAAATGGGATGACCTAGATTTTGTACGCATATGCTGGTAAGGTGGCCTCAATTGTTCGTACTTTTAGTGAGTACACGAACGGAAGGACAGGCTAACAAACCACCCTGAATACCTTGACTATAGCTGGAGAGTGCAGTGCAAGCCACCCTCAATAGTTACCATTAAAAATGGGATGACCTAGATTTTGTACGCATGTGCTGGTAAGGTGGCCTCAATTGTTTGTACTTTTAGTGAGTACACGAACGGAAGGACAGGCTAACAAACCACCCTGAATACCTTGACTATAGCTGGAGAGTGCAGTGCAAGTCACCCTCAATAGTTACTGTTAAAAATGGGATGACCTAGATTTTGTACGCATATGCTGGTAAGGTGGCCTCAATTGTTCGTACTTTTAGTGAGTACACAAATGGAAGGACAGGCTAACAAACCATCCTGAATACCTTGCCTATAGCTTGAGAGTGCAGTGCAAGTCACCCTCAATAGTTACTGCTAAAAATGGGATGACCTAGATTTTGTATGCTGGTAAGGTGGCCTCAATTGTTCGTACTTTTAGTGAGTACACAAATGGAAGGACAGGCTAACAAACCATCCTGAATACCTTGACTATAGCTGGAGAGAGCAGTGCAAGCCACCCTCAATAGCTACTGTTAAAAATGGGATGACCTAGATTTTGTAATGGTAAGGTGGGCCTAAATTGTTTGTACTTTTAGTGAGTACACGAACGGAAAGACAGGCTAACAAACAACCCTGGATACCTTGCCTATAACTGGAGAGTGCAGTGCAAGCCACCCTAAATAGTACTGCTAAAAATGGGATGACCTAGATTTTGTACGCATAGGCTGGTAAGGTGGCCTCAATTGTTCGTACTTTTAGTGAGTACACGAACGGAAGGACAGGCTAACAAACCATCCTGAATACCTTGACTATAGCTGGAGAGTGCAGTGCAAGTCACCCTCAATAGTTACTGTTAAAAATGGGATGACCTAGATTTTGTACGCATATGCTGGTAAGGTGGCCTCAATTGTTCGTACTTTTAGTGAGTACACAAATGGAAGGACAGGCTAACAAACCATCCTGAATACCTTGACTATAGCTGGAGAGTGCAGTGCAAGTCACCCTCAATAGTTACTGTTAAAAATGGGATGACCTAGATTTTGTATGCATAGGCTGGTAAGGTGGCCTCAATTGTTCGTACTTTTAGTGAGTACACAAATGGAAGGACAGGCTAACAAACCATCCTGAATACCTTGACTATAGCTGGAGAGTGCAGTGTAAGCCACCCTCAATAGTTACTGTTAAAAATGGGATGACCTAGATTTTGTACGCATATGCTGGTAAGGTGGCCTCAATTGTTCGTACTTTTAGTGAGTACACAAATGGAAGGACAGGCTAACAAACCATCCTGAATACCTTGCCTATAGCTTGAGAGTGCAGTGCAAGTCACCCTCAATAGTTACTGCTAAAAATGGGATGACCTAGATTTTGTATGCTGGTAAGGTGGCCTCAATTGTTCGTACTTTTAGTGAGTACACAAATGGAAGGACAGGCTAACAAACCATCCTCAATACCTTGACTATAGCTGGAGAGTGCAGTGTAAGCCACCCTCAATAGTTACTGTTAAAAATGGGATGACCTAGATTTTGTACGCATATGCTGGTAAGGTGGCCTCAATTGTTTGTACCTTTAGTGAGTACACGAACGGAAGGACAGGCTAACAAACCACCCTGAATACCTTGACTATAGCTGGAGAGTGCAGTGCAAGCCACCCTCAATAGTTACCATTAAAAATGGGATGACCTAGATTTTGTATGCTGGTAAGGTGGCCTAAATTGTTCGTACTTTTAGTGAGTACACGAACGGAAGGACAGGCTATGAAACTATCCTGAATACATTGACTATAGCTGGAGAGTGCAGTGCCATTTAAAAAGTAACTCTTTGTAGTTTAGTGAAAGTTGTCCTTTTTCAACTGACGTGAGGCAAAGGACAGGCCAACCAACCATCCGGAATACCCTGACAATAGCAGTCCAATCCTCGCAACACACTAAGTCATGTGACCACTCCACTCACTGTTGGAGAGTGAAAATGGCAAAGAAGAAGTTGGCAAAGTACTCTGGCACCACGTACTCCCTTCCTCCCCTCTCCTTGAAATAGACGGAGATTTTGGCAAACTCCAGCACTACGTCTCCAAAGTCTTGTAGAAACAGCACCAACAGTCCTATCTTGTGGAACCTGCGATACAGATTGGGTAATAAAACATAATATTGATGAGTATTATACTTATACTGTGGTATGAAGTTGAAATTGCTCCGATAACTTTTGGGAGTTTCGTTGTTTATATCAATTATACCAATACTGTGTTAACGGTTCCGCCCATTGCTCTGGGTGCGTGGTCTATGGCCCTAGTGCTATGGCAGCCACCTGAGTATTATTATTATTACTGTGGGTGTTTTGAAACTGGGGTAAACCTTTACAGGAGAAAGGCAAATGGATTAAGGAGAACACTTTCATGGAGTCAAGGTCTTTGGAAACATGTATATATGTAGGTCTGAATCGATTGCATGTACCATGAGAAAAGCCAAGTCCCTTAGCAAAATGTTCACGTCTCAACTAATTGGTAACGAGGTAGAAAGGCAAGGCAAGGCAAACAAGTCAGCTACACCCAGGACAGCTCTTTCTTTTCACAGAAAAGAAGAGCTGCCCTAGGTGGGATTCGAACCCACGACACTCTGCAGTCTAGGCTACCAGGGCAACTGAGCTACCAGGGCAACTCAGCTGTGTATATATACTTGTGCCGCCATTATTACCTGACGGTGTACGAGAAGAGGAGGAGGGCGATGGTGAGAGCATGGTGCAGTATCAAGACCACGAAATCCTGACGAACAGTGTCCATATACACAGTGCCATAGGCAAAATGAAGATAGAACCCAATCTACAAGGAATAATAGTAAGGTGCACTGAATATAGATAGAACCCAATCTACATGGAATAATAGTAAGGTGCACTGAATATAGATAGAACCCAATCTACATGGAATAATAGTAAGGTGCACTGAATATAGATAGAACCCAATCTACATGGAATAATAGTAAGGTGCACTGAATATAGATAGAACCCAATCTACAAGGAATAATAGTAAGGTGCACTGAATATAGATAGAACCCAATCTACAGGGAATAATAGTAAGGTGCACTGAATATAGATAGAACCCAATCTACAGGGAATAATAGTAAGGTGCACTGAATATAGATAGAACCCAATCTACATGGAATAATAGTAAGGTGCACTGAATATAGATAGAACCCAATCTACAGGGAATAATAGTAAGGTGCACTGAATATAGATAGAACCCAATCTACACGGAATAATAGTAAGGTGCACTGAATATAGATAGAACCCAATCTACACGGAATAATAGTAAGGTGCACTGAATATAGATAGAACCCAATCTACATGGAATAATAGTAAGGTGCACTGAATATAGATAGAACCCAATCTACACGGAATAATAATAAGGTGCACTGATTAAAGAACGTGCATAGTGTACATGAACCTAATCGCCTGTCAAAATCTCGGTCACACATGCACCGAGTAAATATAGGACCAAACAAATTTAAAAATACACCTAGTGGTAAATATAAACAGTGAAATTAACTGTCCAGTTAGACACATACATACATACCTGTAGGATATAGAGCCAGCGAAGAGAGTTATCAACAGCTTCTCCAGGTGTCCATCCTGTGTGTGTGTGTGTGTATGTGTGCGCACATGTGTATATGTTTATGAGCAAGTGAGAACAAAAGAACTCAATCATTCATAGGCCTATTATCATGGTAGGGAATTTGCTTGAAATTTTCACTTGCAACTTGGGACACTGTGGGGCCAACAATTATGTCCTTTGTAGAGAGGTTGTCCCTATCTGGAATGTCAAAAATACACCAAGTAAGAAACAAGTGTCCTTTGTAGAGAGGTTGTCCCTATCTCGAATGTCAAAAATACACCAAGTAAGAAACAAATGTCCCTTGTAGAGAGGTTGTCCCTATCTCGAATGTCAAAAATACACCAAGTAAGAAACAAGTGTCCTTTGTAGAGAGGTTGTCCCTATCTCGAATGTCAAAAATACACCAAGTAAGAAACAAGTGTCCCTTGTAGAGAGGTTGTCCCTATCTCGAATGTCAAAAATACACCAAGTAAGAAACAAGTGTCCCTTGTAGAGAGGTCGTCCCTATCTCGAATGTCAATTAATACACTTTAGCATGGAGTTGAAACAAGTGTCCTTTGTAGAGAGGTCGTCCCTATCTCGAATGTCAAAAATACACCAAGTAAGAAACAAATGTCCTTTGTAGAGAGGTTGTCCCTATCTCGGAGGTCAAAAATACACCAAGTAAGAAACAAATGTCCTTTGTAGAGAGGTTGTCCCTATCTCGAATGTCAAAAATACACCAAGTAAGAAACAAGTGTCCTTTGTAGAGAGGTTGTCCCTATCTCGGAGGTCAAAAATACACCAAGTAAGAAACAAGTGTCCCTTGTAGAGAGGTTGTCCCCATCTTGGAGGTCAAAAATACACCAAGTAAGAAACAAGTGTCCCTTGTAGAGAGGTTGTCCCTATCTCGAATGTCAAAAATACACCAAGTAAGAAACAAGTGTCCCTTGTAGAGAGGTTGTCCCTATCTCGGAGGTCAAAAATACACCAAGTAAGAAACAAGTGTCCCTTGTAGAGAGGTTGTCCCTATCTCGAATGTCAAAAATACACCAAGTAAGAAACAAGTGTCCCTTGTAGAGAGGTTGTCCCTATCTCGAATGTCAATTAATACACTTTAGCATGGAGTTGAAACAAGTGTCCTTTGTAGAGAGGTCGTCCCTATCTCGAATGTCAAAAATACACCAAGTAAGAAACAAATGTCCTTTGTAGAGAGGTTGTCCCTATCTCGGAGGTCAAAAATACACCAAGTAAGAAACAAATGTCCTTTGTAGAGAGGTTGTCCCTATCTCGAATGTCAAAAATACACCAAGTAAGAAACAAGTGTCCTTTGTAGAGAGGTTGTCCCTATCTCGGAGGTCAAAAATACACCAAGTAAGAAACAAGTGTCCCTTGTAGAGAGGTTGTCCCCATCTTGGAGGTCAAAAATACACCAAGTAAGAAACAAGTGTCCTTTGTAGAGAGGTTGTCCCTATCTCGAATGTCAAAAATACACCAAGTAAGAAACAAGTGTCCCTTGTAGAGAGGTTGTCCCTATCTCGAATGTCAAAAATACACCAAGTAAGAAACAAGTGTCCCTTGTAGAGAGGTTGTCCCTATCTCGGAGGTCAAAAATACACCAAGTAAGAAACAAGTGTCCCTTGTAGAGAGGTTGTCCCTATCTCGAATGTCAAAAATACACCAAGTAAGAAACAAATGTCCTTTGTAGAGAGGTTGTCCCTATCTCGAATGTCAAAAATACACCAAGTAAGAAACAAGTGTCCCTTGTAGAGAGGTTGTCCCTATCTCGAATGTCAAAAATACACCAAGTAAGAAACAAGTGTCCCTTGTAGAGAGGTTGTCCCTATCTCGAATGTCAAAAATACACCAAGTAAGAAACAAATGTCCTTTGTAGAGAGGTTGTCCCTATCTCGAATGTCAAAAATACACCAAGTAAGAAACAAGTGTCCCTTGTAGAGAGGTTGTCCCTATCTCGAATGTCAAAAATACACCAAGTAAGAAACAAGTGTCCTTTGTAGAGAGGTCGTCCCTATCTCAGAGGTCAAATAATACACTACAATAGTTGAAGAGTGTTATAGAGTAGAAGTTTGTCCCTATCTCAGAGAGTCCCTTATCAGAGGGTCCTTTATCAGTATCAGTTCAACTGTATTCCCGTACCTTCCCAGTGAGTCTTGAGGTCCACGAAGTAGTTCTCAGTGGCAATGAGGTAGATGGCCCAGCTCCAGGTGATGCTGTACATGATGACCTTCCACAGACTCTCCGGGAGCTTGTCCGTCCCGTCCTTGTTCATGTCCACCCACTTTGGAATACGCTGAGGGGTGAGGGGTGAGGGAGGGAGGGAGGGAGGGAGGGAGGGAGGGAGGGGGGGGAGGGAGGGAGGGAGGGAGGCAACAAGGGGTAGAAAAGATGTATAGCGGGAAACTTTGTAGGGAAAACTCTCGCGCTTTCAAACAAACCGAGCAGCAGATCGCTGGTCATGCACAACAACAATAACAGTAAAACGTGTAAGACTCAAAAAATTCCCCGCTATACAGGCAGAGGGCAATAGGAGAGTGTACAAAAGAATTTAAAAAGATTTGTAAAAAGTAGTCGCCCAGTGTGGGGGTCGAACCCACGACCCTCAGATTAAAAGTCCGATGCTCTACCACTGAGCTAACCGGGCAGCTCTGCTCTGCTACTGAGCAAGTACATTAGCCACCGTATTCAGCACACATATTGTAGCCTGTACTCCAACTTCAAATGAAAAGCACTGAAGTGCAAACCCTCAGCATTGTGACATGACGCGCACCCGTAAGCAAACGCATGCGCCGTACCACTAATTGATGGGCTGGGTTTAGTTGTAGCTGTTACTCGTGGTCTCTTGCCAGCTCGCACAGAGTCTGACGCGGACTAACTACACTACTAGATAGCATGCGAGAGGTGATACACGCCCTGCGTTGCATCTTCTGGTGCCTCCGAAGTACGCAGAGCACGCGGATCGATCGGACCGTGGTAAGCATCCTGTCCGTTGTGTATTTGCATATTGGCTTTTTCGCGCTCTAGCTTTGCAACGGAGCATTTTCAGAGAAAAACCGCACAAACTTTCTGACCTTCATTGGCCGTTAAGTAAGTCGTATCGTTTGTGAGATGAACGAACATTGGAGAAGTGAGATGAAGAGTAACAGACACACAGACCCAACTACAGTAACCCTCGCTGCGCATGCGCGCCGAGGGTTAACAACCCGGTGTTAGGAATATATGCTGTATTCTGAGCTGTGGGCTGCACAGGTATCAGTATTAGACAGGAAGTCCTTATCACAACATCTAGCGCTAGGCATAGTGCAAATTTTCTGGCTTCCAAAGTTTACACAATAGTCTATTAGTCGGATGATGCAGCAGAAATTCAGCGTTGTGATTGGCTAGTTGGACTACAACCTCAGGCTATACCTGTGTTTTGTATGGATATTTTGGGGTTTGTAAATGGTGGTGGTGGTTTTCATTTATTTCTCTATCTATCTATCTATATCTCTCTCCCTATATATGGCTGGTATGCTATGCACTATAATTTCATGTACGTACTATTATTACCTCCGAATAAGGGACGTCTCAGAATAAAGGATGCTCAAGAGGTGTTCCCTTAATTATTCATAGGTTGAACTGTACCTTGAAGAGTAGGGAGTTGAGTACCATCCGTATGGCAGTGAGGACCACAGCCAGTCCCACAGTCTGCATGACGAGTCCCCAGTCCATGTACCAGGAGAGGTAGAGCCACTCAAACGTCTCTCTCAGCCACGTCTCCACTCCATTCCACGGCAGTCGCTCGAAAACCTGACCGTGAAATGATACTGCTGTATATACAGAGACTCTCTTTACATGGCTCGCAATAAATGCATGCACTGTGAAGACAGTATACATACCACACAAATCTTTAGACAGGGAAATGTGTATGTCAGGTTGCTTACTACCGGACCTCGTGTCATAAACCAATGCTCTTCAAAAAGATAGCGATTGTGAGATGTACGTAAGTAAGGTGTTATGAGGGAGGAATGCAAAATAGACTTCAGTTAACCAATTTTTCACCGCTGGGATAGGGGGTTGGTAAGAAAACTGGGTGATGCAGATCTTCCAAGTATGGCTACTAGGATGGTATTGGGTAGCAAATCCACCCCCAATGGCATGACCTCGTGACAAGAACGTCCAACAAAGTTACCTCTCTCCTCATCGTTGCAATGTTCAAAGCGAGGTCCAAACCAACTATACTTGCATACGCTACATAATTATACACAAAACACGGAAGAGGAAAAGAGAGGACCAGACCTCGCCAGCAGCGCTCTGTGACATGTCTCGGAGGCAGACAAGGGGGTTGGGAAACAGCGGAGAGCGGTCCACGTAGCCCGGAGCCTCCATCAGCCACGTCCACATGAACGCCATGGCAGCACAGGAGCCGCAGAGCGAAGCACAGAAGGGTGGAACGCTCTGATGATCACGCCGTAGCGAGCTTTTTGCGCATGCGCTAAATGAATCCGTACGAACGACCTCCGTCCTGCACGTAGTGCGAAGCCCCATCGTCACGCACCGCCACGTTCGGGGAGGCTGCGAATCTACTTATGCAGCTCCACCGGCTCTCTCTCCGACAGAAAACAATAGCCATGTCTGCGGCGGTGTTTAGACTCCTCGGAGAGCGCTCCCTGCAGCGTGCACCTACGGCCGGAGCCCTGCGGATTGCGGCACCGGCAGCGACCGCGCGATCCCTGCACGTCGGAGAGCCAAGCAGAGTAGCCGACAAGAGCTACAAGTTCGTGGTGTGCGGGGCGGGACCTGGAGGGCTGGCCGTCGCCTCTTCCCTCGGCCGTAGGTTCGGGGAAAAGTCAATCGCCATCATCGAGCCCGCTGACGTAAGTCGCGCAGTTTACGAGCCCGTAGTGAGATGCGCAATGTTTCCCTTTTCGTTGGTGTTATAGAATGCAGCTAGCTATAGTTGCTGATAGCTCTAGCTCCTATGGCTCTAGCTCTACTATACAACAACCACTGTGGCCACTCAAGTGCACGTCAACTGTGCACTCAATTAAGTTCACGTCGGAAGTGCACTCTAGTGCACGACTGTATAGTCCTGGAGATAATAGTTTGTTTGTCCTATTGACCACTGTGTATGTATATGCAGTACCACTACTATCAGCCAATGTGGACTCTGGTAGGCTGTGGAATCAAGACCCTGGAAGACTCTCGCAGGAAGATGGCAGACTTCATGCCACCCCAAGCCGACTGGTTACAAACCAGCGTGACTGGTTTTCGACCAAACGAGAACATTGTAGAGACGGCCGACGGCTCCACTGTCAAATACGACTATCTCATTGTTGCTGTGGGGTTACAAATTGACTACGGAAAGGTGAAAAATGTGTGTATATACTTGACCCTAAGTGTGCAGTTGATATGGATGATTGTCCAAGTAGCTTTGATTCAGCACCTTGGCTCAAAGCTGACAATCTGCATAATGTGGGTCCCCTAGTCAATCACAACTAACATATCTAACATTTTTCATGCCCATTTGAAGGAGATTTAGAAAGTGAATTTTCATACTTAGTGTTATCATGCACATTATTCGTAATAATATCCACAGATTAAGGGGCTACCGGAGGCGCTGGAGGACCCCAACTCCATGGTTTCGACAAACTACTCGTCTCTCTATGCCCCCAAGACCTTTGAGAACGTCAGGAGGTTCAAAGGTGGCCACGCCCTCTTCACCTTCCCCACCATACCAATCAAGTGTCCCGGAGCTCCGCAGAAGATCATGTACCTTGCCGAAGACTACTGGAGAAGGGTAAGAGCACTAATGGAGAGCTGTGTATAAAATGTGAAAAATACGGCTTAAATTTTGCAGCCAACTGTGAAATTTTTCTCTGTAAATTTTTATGTTTTGGTATAATGGCAGGCCAAGGAATACTTTTCATCTTGGTTGGCACGTACTGCCACCTGCGAAAAGGTCGACTATGAGCCACAAACAAGTTTGCTTTTGCAAAGGATTGTATTGTTGAGGTATATACAACTGGTGTCCAGTGGCTTAAATTCTTTTTTCATGTGAAAGTGTGAGCTGCTTAGTTTACATGTTAACTTCATTCTCATGAACGTAGCCACACGTTTGTCTCACACAGAACGGAATGAAGGAGAACACAAAAATCTCGTTCAACACTACTCTGGGCGTCATTTTTCCCGTGAAGAAGTATGCTGATGTTCTGCAGGGCATCGTGAAGGAAAGGGGAATTACAGTGAGTGGCTAACTGTGTGCCTTGCTCACACAATTAGCCACAATAAGTGCTGCAGCGTAATGCTGGGCTCACAGGGAGGTTGGAGGGAGGGAAAGAAAGCCTATCTATCTGCATGTGGTGTGACTTAATCTCTCTCTGTTTTCTTGAATTCGAAGTACCTAGTGGTTGATAAAATTTAAATTAATCTCTTGTATTAATTATACCTAATCATAGCCCAACTCCAACTGTACCGTGGAGTCTACTTTACTTTTTGAGTACTATTGACTATGGATTAGTGTGATGCCAATGTACTTACAGGTGAACTACCAGCACAAGCTGCTAGAGGTACTCGGAGACAAGAGAGAGGCAGTTTTCGAGCTACTGGCAGAAGACAAACAGGGGGAGACAATCACTGTCCCGGTAAACACACACACCATTCATGCTGAGTAGTGAGGTTGTACGAATTGGTTACCGGGCTTTAATCGGTCATCCTATATGGTATAGCCCCTATACTAATCGTGCTACATGCTAAGTGGTAGTATAATTATTGTGCCATGGCAAAATTGTTTGAGGAATTGAGTTGTAGATTCGAACCCGTAATTTGCTGAATTGTCCTGGTAGCTCAGTTGGTAGAGCGCTCGCGTAGACTGCAGAGTGTCCTGCATCCTGGATCAAATCCCACCCAGAGAAGCTCTTTTTCCGGAAAGCGAGTTGTCCTGGGTGTAGTTGTGTTGTTTGTCTTTGCATTGAAACGCTGCAGTGTTGCTGAGACATGCATCATCTCTCTCTGTTTCTCTGGCAGTATGATTTCCTGCATGCCACACCTCCAATGGCGCCTCTGGACTTCATGGTGGGCCAGCCCATCTCTGACCAGCTGGGATGGGTGGATGTGGACCCCAAGACACTCCAACACAAGAAATATGGTGTGTTCTCCTGCTCTGTGATATAACAGGGTATATATACACAGGCCAGATATTCAGTCACACCCTACTTTCAAGGAAAGTTTGGTACAATAGAGCTAACTAAAACCCTACAGAGCCTGTCATCCTTAATACGTAGCACCCAAAACTCTCCTCATGTGACTCTTGATATAACTTATATTATATCAAGTGATGAAAGAACCTTCTCGTTGAAACTAAAAGGTTTTCCACTGTTTATGGTGTGCCAACAAAACTTCACATTACATCGTGACTCACAAATCACGTTACCTTGTAGGTAGGCAGTAAAACATCTGAATATTTTCCTATGTTGAATAATGGTACGATTATTTTGTGTCCACAGCCAATATATTCTCACTGGGGGACTGTAGCAGTGTACCAACCAGTAAGACAGCAGCAGCAGTGGCCGCAGAGTCTCGTGTCCTCAAAAGAAACCTTCTGGAGGTGGTAAAGGGAGGATCACCTCGTCTCGAGGTCAGCCCCTGCAATTCAGTAGCTATTGCCCCGTGGGAAACTAAATATTGAGAGGTCACACATACTCTGTTAGACCTTTTCTGGAGAATGTGGAGCTTGAGCAAACCCCACCTACAGTTTCTATTGATAATCATGACGAACAGAATGTCATCATGCATGCATGCAGATACAATTGTGCATACACTATATACACGTGACCAGCAAGTTTTAGAATTTGAGCATTTGGAGAGTTCAGGCACAGACCTTGTAGTGTTATTATGCATAACCTTGCTTAGATGCTAAAAAGTGACCCCTCTTCGCTTCTCTCTCACCCTCTTTCCCAACTCAGTATGATGGCTACACATCGTGTCCCCTGATAACCAGCATGGACAAGGCAATCCTGGCAGAGTTTGACTTCAATGTCATGCCACTGGAGACCTTCCCCATTGACCAGGGCCCACCGCGTCGCTGGGTCTACCGTCTCAAGAAAGACTTCATGCCTGGACTCTACTGGCACATGCTGCTCAGGTCAGTTTCCTTCACCCTCACATTTATTGCCAAATCCAGAAATGTTGGCGTATCATTAATTTTGGCGAACCTGGCGAGGAGTAATTTTTCGCTAAAATAAAAGATGCTAACAGGAAAACCTGTGTGTGTATGTGTGATTAACTTTAAAACGGCAAAATTAAGTGACCTACGTATTGGTGAAAGCGCTAAAATTAATGGATGCTAACATTTCTGGATTTACAGTATTGTAACTAGCTAAGAAACTAATTTTTCTTCTCTCTACAGAGGATGGTGGGGAGGTCCGGGATTTGCCAGGAAACTCATGCATCTTGGAGACCACTCCAAATGACTGGACACTCTGACACAATGCATGTCACATCCCATTGAACTCTTCTTCGTTGGTTGACTTTTTACTTTTGAAATTGAGTGAAAATTTTTGAGTGTTAAAACACTACGCACTTGAAGAGCACTGTAGGAATACACTAATAGTATACAGTGGTCTAGCAATGTGGCCCTAGTTACCACAGTCTGGGTGCAATCCCCTTTCACTTGTTTAGTACGTCTCGTGACCATAAAGCACAATAGATTCCTCGTCACCAAAGGGGATTCTAATGTTTAGTCCTAATAATCTTGTCCCATTGTTAACCTGGGTGTGACTCAACAACTTCCATTCTATCTCAATGAAGTTGTACCTCTGTGTATGTTTCAGTTGTTGTTTTTAGCTCAGTAAGATAGTTTGAAGACTTTTTACCTGCTGTTATATAGGAAATGCCACATACATAGTGTGACAAAAGAAGTTATGCATAAAAATGACAAAAGGTTAGACTTTGGTAAGTCACAGGTTTGTCTTTGGTGTAGCAATAAGCAGTACATTCTCCAGTGAGGTGCTACGAGAGACAAAGTACAGGAGTCTCCCCTCCATCTCTCTCTCCCTCAGATAGTGCAGTCTCGCCAGGTCCAACACTCTCTTACACTTTAACCCCACCTCCTCCCTCGGGTGGGGGTGGTACGACGGAGGGTGGGGGGTGGAGCTCGTTTTTGTGGTAATGTTTGAGTGGGTGTGGTCTGTTGTCATGGTAACCACATGGTGGGTTGAGTCTGTTGTCGTGGTAGCACCTGTTTCTGCAAAGGAGTGCTTGTGTTCCATGTCGTGTTCAGAGTCCCTGTCTGGACTGCGGACACCACATACGGCCCAACTAGTCATTTTGGACACCAGGTGGGCATCAATTGGAGAGAAACCACGCCCATCCAGCCAGTGGGTCCCGGCCAGCTGGCCCCAGGAGCAGCGATGGTGGCAGCAGAGAGCTATCACTATTCCACTCAGTTTGGATGCAGAGTCACGGTGAGTGCAGACTCTCTTTGCATCTGGTGGATTGGCTGGACCAACTTGATGATGCAATGTTACATCATCAGGGTTCTCTGATCTCATTGGTTGATGGTCGTCATGTGGCAGAGTCTCTAGGAGACATCGTAGAGTCAGGTCTGCAAGAAAACATTAGAGCATCAGCAACAACAGAAGTAAAATGTTAATTGCAGCTCTGTCTTTGCTAGAAAAACTTGGAAGACAGTCATTTCGATACGCTTGCAGTGTATGTATATTAAAGAGCCAGTATAAAGTTTCTCACCAGTAGCAGAGCCACAGAGGTGTTTGCTGACGGCCACCACGTGTTTCACCTCAGGTCTCTGGACCACTTCAACTCTACCTGGATGATGTAATGGTGTTTGGTTGCTAGTGTTCTCATTGAGGGACACAACATTATGGCAGTATGGCAGTATGGCTAGTCACTTGATACGGAAGAGATTGTGCGTGGAGGGAGTGACAATAGGGGCGTGGTGGAGGGAGTGACAATAGGGGCATGCTGTTGCTGCTGAAGACGTTTCACATTAGTAGCGAGTTAACGCAAAAACTTCAATTTTTCATGTACAAGAATTGCATGTGTTAGAGGATTGTGTGGTACGTGCAGTGCCTCCCACAAAATATAGGAAAATCCTGCATTCAGACGACTACATACGTAGTTTCGCTAGCCAATGAGGGCAGTACCCATGTCAAGATGTTCGATGTCAATGTTGAGTCGCTGAACTCTGGCCTCATTACTGGGATCACCACGGAGGTACACATCTTTCTGTGAGAGGAAGGGGGGGAGGGGGAGAGAAATGAGAGATTGAGTGAGGGAAAACGGAACAGAATAACAAGAAAGCAAGCTGAGTTGGAGTAGATCCAGTGCCACTTCTCTTCCATTCTAGTGCCTAGTGCCTACAAAAAATGCAATATCATTGACACCCTTATTGGAGGGGAATAGCGAAATTTGGGCAAGATAGGGATAGGTGTAGCAAGATAGAAGATGTTACCATTCCATACTCCAACTATAGTTAAAGTATTATGTATAGTTAGTTTGTCTCTTTTTCCACCCTTGTGCCTACAAAAAATGCGAAATCGTTGACACCATTATTAAGGACAGCGAAATTTGAGCGAGATAGGGATAGATGTAGCAAGATAGCATATGTTACCATTCCATACTCTAACACTAGTCAAAGTATAAAGGATAGTTGGTTTGTCTATTCTTCCACTCATGACTCTGCAAAAAATGCAAATTCATACCCACCCTTATTGGCAAGTGAGGGATTGGTAAAGAGACAGCAGTGCAGAGTGAGCCTGTCCAAGACCGCAGAATTATCTCATAAAAGCCACAGAAGCCAAATTTGTGACTGAAATAGCTACGTACAAGGGACACTTGGTTTTGTCACATACACATTGATGTATTATTATACTACGTCAGAATAAAGGATAAAGGACACTTACGGTGTCCCTTCTCATTCAGAGGTGTCACGGTATACCTTTCTCCTGCAGCTATCTCTGTCCACTAGAAGGTAGTGCATAGTGTCATCGTTTACACACACTCTCTGGAGACAGTTGGACAGCTTCCCTGGAAACAATGCATGTACACACGTACCATAATTATACCAACTCAGTATACTGTAGTTGACTTGTTTGCTTGGCCTTGGCCTTGCTACTTTTTGACATCCATTCTATATTGCACAGCCATGTTACAGCTAGTGAAGGCTAGGAGCTCAGTATTAATTTTTCTATATACATAGTTGCATGATAGAGTTCCTTAAGGCTACCAGGAGCGCACACTTGTGGTTCTGAGATTCATCCCCACAAGGCTTTGCCACTAGCTGGCAGGATAGAGTTCCTTACCTCTGCCAGCTCCAAACTCTACGAAACAAGTGTCTGGCCGAATCAACTGCAGCCTCTCGAGATGACCAAGAATAGAAGCCTGCAAAAAGTAACTGTTATTATTAAATTAGTTAAACTGAAAGCCAGGAATGTGCCTCCCTTGGTGATAAAAGTGTGAATCAGTAGCACTATAAAGGGCACCCTAGAAATCAGGACGCGAGGCGATACCTGTTGTCGTATGTGTTTTAGAGCCGTTGCTCCATTAGCAGGGTCGGAGAGGTCAGAGTTCATCACCGGATGCTCCAACACCACCTCTTCAATGTCACCCATATATTCTGAGAGTATTGGTAAGAGTGGCAGTGAGCTATTACATATGAACTGAACAGCATATAACAACAATTCAGTACATTGTCCGACTGCGCATGTTTGGATTATGCACATCGTGCTTGATTGTGTTGCAGCTCTTGCTAGCACTCATGCTCACCAACAATGCTCTGCTATCACATACTAGTTTGGAACTGGTGGGAAGAGTAAGTACTACCTTGATATACTTGCTCCACCTTTGCAATGACAGCGTCTATTTGGCTCTGACTGAATGCTGACAGCGGTTTCTATTCACGAGAAAGGAAAAACTAACACACATTCAGCTGGATACAACAACCACCACACCTTTTCTTCCGCTGAAGGCTGGTAGTCTGTTATACCAGTGTTGACATTGGCTCTGTAGCAAATCTGCAGTAAACCATATGAGAGAGTGGGCAACTATAGAGTATGGTATTGATTATACAAACTCACAGGAACACCTTTCTTTGCGGCATTGCACTTCCTGAGGTGTATCTGCAGCTGATGCTCATACACAGTACTGCGAGGGAGTGAGTTTCTGAGGTTACCAAAGAACACATCTAATGTACGGCCACAAAGAAATCACTAAAGGTTGATGGTACACAAGTCATACTATCATACACTTTTACATATACTGTTTCGAAAGGAGAAAAGACAGATATGAGTTTGTAACTATAAGAGCTCAAAAGAAGAGCCAAAGGGTAATGGCATAAACCACACTATGATATTTGAAGATACTGTTGCGGAAGGAGAAAAGACTAGGGGCTCTGTTCAATTTGTGTTGCATGTGAGTTTGTAACTAAGAGTTCAAAAGAACAGAGTAAATCCAAAGGGTTATGGTATAATAAATCATACTATCATACATAATTATTATTTGAAGACTTTATAAAGAGGCACTGTGGCCTCTATTCAATTCATGTAACATTGAGGTGTATGGAAATCAAATGGAGGACCCCCTCACACTTACTGGTGGGGATCAAGAGGGCAAGGGATCCTTCTCTTCACAGATGAAGCACCCGGATCAAGGTCGTAGGTCAGGTGCTCTCCACAGTACTCTCTCCCCTTGGTAACAGGCATTCTACAGTAGCGGCCTCTCTTCCTTATGAACAGAGCACACCTCCCCGGCTCTCTCTCCTCCCTCTCTGTCTCCGCTGCAGAGTGTGAAACCAACACGATGGGTCCCGCTGTGGGAGTGGATATTATTCCTTACCCTCCTTCTTTCCTCCCTTATCCATATACACTCGTTCCTTCCATATAACCACACCATAGATGAGTGATCGGAGGCTGAAGAGAGAGCACAAACAGCTTACCTTCAGGTTTTTGTAACCTACAATGAAGGAGGGCAGCCTAGGTTTGTGATGAAGTGCTGACAACAACGCGGGAAGTGTGAGATAATCATGTCAGGGAACTCTACACCGACTTGTTTGTAAACACGTGAGTTCTAAGTACGAAGTTCGGAGTGCACACAGCAACACGTGTCAATAAAATGGCGTCCAATAAAGAAGTAGACGAGGAACAGAAGCTGGCGAGACTGTTCTCGCAGCTCCAGGCAGCTGGGGAGGACGGGGAATACGAAAAAGGCCTCAAGACGGTCGAGAAGATTCTTGCTATCGTTCCCGGGGACCCCGACGCCCTTCACTGCAAGGTAGTCTGCCTCGTTCAAATGTCAGAGTTGGGAGAGGCTCTGAAGCTTATCGACTCGCTCTCTCGTAAGTCTGTCGCCAAAGGCTCACTCCTGTTCGAGAAGGCGTACTGCCTGTATCGTCTGGAGCGCTACGAGGAGAGCAGAAAGACCCTTGAAGGCTTGCCTCAGAGCGAAGAACGCGTGCGTGGGCTCTCCGCGCAGATAGCTTACCGTCTTGAAGAATACGGAGCTGCCGGCTCCGTATACTCGAGCCTGGTGAGGGAGTGTTCGGACGACTATGATGGCGAGAGACAGGCCAACTACGCTGCTGCTCAGGCTCTCTCTGGAAACGAGAACAAGTCATTCGAAATCGACTCCCTTCGCGAAGAGACAATGGAGCAGTGTTTCAACAAAGCCTGTTGCCTGTTGGCCGCCGGGAGGGGAGAGGACGCAGAGGAACTTCTCGAAAAATCGGAGAAACTTTGTCGCGAGAGTCTCGTGGAAGAAGACTACACTGAGGAGGAGATAGAGGCCGAGTTATCGGTGGTGCGGGTCCAGCTAGCGTGTGCTCTTCAGATGCAGGGTAAAGGGAAAGAGGCACTCGCCGCGTACGCCAACGTTCTGCGACAGAGATCTGGGGATTCCCCACACGACATCGTCGCCTCGAACAACATCCTCGTCCTGAACAAAGATCGCGACGTGTTTGACTCTAAGAAGAAAGTCAAGGTCCTCGCTAATGCTGGGACGCTCAAGAAGCTCATTCGCTCTCAGAAAGTGGTCATTCTGTACAACAGAGCGCTTTTTGCTCTCCAAATGAACCAGTTAGAGCAGTGTCGTCAACTGGTGGCCGAGATGAGATCCGTCTACCCAGCCAGCGAGCAAACGATACTTGCCGAGGTCGGACTCCTCAATAGAGAGAGGAAAATTGGCCAGGCGGTCGAGCTACTAGATTTCCATCTCAAGGGTGTACCTACATCAACGCCGTTGCTGTGGTTGACTCTGGCCCAGCTGTACGGTAGTCAAGGTAACACAGCCATGGTGTGTTTGGTGTTAGACTCCCTCCCCTCCCTCTCCACACACCCTGGAGTCGTGTGTACCCTTGTGGCTCTCTACTCCTCGTTGGGAAAGACAACCCCCGCAATTAGCGTCCTCGATCGCGCCGTTTCATTCCAGACTCAATCACCCACATTGTCGCAGTCTCTCCTACGATCGCTCATGTTTTACAACGCCCAGTACAAACTGGACCACAACCAGCCTCAAGAAGCCGCTACGGTTTTAGAAAAGCTCAGAGCTACGTACCCCAATGATCTAAAGGTGCAGGCAAGACTCATTGCGTCGTATTCCAAATTTGACTCCCGCCGAGCGGAAACGGCAAGTCGGTCCATCCCTAAATTTACTGGTGCCGAGAGAGTTGATGTAGATGCTCTGGAACAGATGCCGAGTTTCAGACACAGCCAGCGACAACAGATGAAGCCAAACACCAGCAGTAACAAACAGAGCACGGGCGGTGCGGAGGGAGGAGGAAAGGAGAAAGACAAACATCGCAAGAAGAAACGCAAGTCGAAACTCCCGAAAAACTTTGACCCTGAGAAGAAGTCCGACCCGGAGCGCTGGTTGCCAATGAGGGAGAGGTCGTACTATAGGAAGGGTAGGAAGAGGGGGTTTGCTCCTCTGAGGGGATCCCAGGGAACGAGTCATGCCTCTGCTAGTCTGACAGCTCAACTGGACGCCAGCAGACCCAAACCAACACCTTCGGATGATACCACCACTGGTGAGGGTGTGTGTGTGTGTGTGTGCGGTGTGAGTGTGTATGTGGGAGGGTTGTTTGCCTCAATATGAGTATATGACGTATATGTATGGGTGTCCCTCTCTTTCGTTTTCTCGGAAACTCACTGGTGGTCTACATACACCCACATTGTGCTACACATCCTATTTCAACTTCCTGTGTACTACGCCATGGATCTCACTTCTTCACTTTTCTTTCGCTACCCCTCTTTCCTCTCCCTCCCTCTTCCTCCCTCCCCCCTCCCCCTCTCAGCCTCTCCAAGGAAGAAACAGGAGGTGGCCAGCTCACCACGTGCCAAACCCAGTCAGCAACTGGCGCAGAAGAAACTGCAGCAGCAGCAGCAAAAGAAGAAGAAGAAAAAGGGAGGGAAATGGTGATTTGTAGGAGGAATTTTGAGACTATCACTTCTAATCATTTCATCTGTAATTTTTGTAATGAGAAATTTGCAATGAGATTGCTGAAATCAACACCAGAGTGAGCGTGAGAAGCAGTAAGAAACAAGTAGCATTAGCTCCATGTGTGTGTATACCTCGTTCCTCACGAGCTTTGTGGAGGCTTTGAGCCTTCAGTTCTCCCGTGATGTTATATACATACACCAGTTTGCATGCTACGCATTAAATGTCGTCGCTGAAAGGACAAACTGCGCGGTGCAGGTGTGAAGTTTTTCAAGGAGTTCAGCAGTCATGCTCAAATAGCAGATCAGTGAGTGAGTGTGTGTGAAGGTGCCGAGGGGTTAACAGGAGATGAGCTGTGTGTCGTGAGGGGTTAAAAGTATATATATAGCATGGAGCATAATCAATATAGGCTGGTTTGACTGGACTCTTGACTCCTCACGGACAGACTGGCTGACTCTCAGCTCATCCTGTTGATGCCTCACACCTCACACCAAACACCGACTGATCCTACCACAGGGATGGACCCTGGGTATATACATCGAATGTGGATAATCAGTTTCAGTTGTACACCCACTTGCTCGTAGTTTTCCTACATGCTGATGAGCATGGGTGTTTTTATGGGAATTTTCTTCTTCCTCTCTTTGTCCCTTCTGTCCAGCATCACTGTAGGCCTAGGCTAGCTGACACAAGAAACAGCAGCTGCCAAAACAGGGGAAAAGGGTGGGGGGATTTGGTTGGGTAGTAGTGCTTTTTCGTGCATTACCTCGGCACGGCGCGCATGCGCAGCAGCGAACAGCGTTGGCGCGGCGCGCGGCGGCGACGCGAGTGCCTACCCCATAGGCTACTCTCCTTCAGTGGAGGTTACAAAGAATAAGAAGAAGCTACCCATACAGCGCTAGTCAGCAGTTTGTACTTGCCAGTGTGGCCGAATTAATCTCAGTAAAAGCAGCATTCATTGTAGTAAGTTTAGTGTCGCGGAGCCAGCGCAAGACTATAGGTTGCTCCAAAGCTATGGGGCTACCTTCTCTCATCTATCCAAACAATTTTCGTACTGAGTTCACGTGCATGACCGGTGTGAAGGGTGAGAACTACAAACTAAGACCTAAAAGCGGCGATAAATTTCCGTTTCTTCGTGTGTGGGGAGTCCGCTGCATCCGCACCCGTCCCCTTGACGCCGCGTGCGAAGTGTCACGTTTTCGTTTTCCTGGGGATCCCGAAATGGAGGAAAACGGAGGCGTAGGGAAATAGTGTCCGGTTTGGTGGACATCCAAAATTCCTATAAAAAGTGCCACTGGAAACATAAGCTTTATCACATCCCTCAACTCTACACTACCAAGCTCGAAACGTCTTCTTCAAGATGAATTTTCTGACACTGGCAGTTATTATTGCCTGTGCCGGACTCAGCGGAGTGGCAGGCCAGCTCCCGTGTGACAGCGTCCTTCGTCGACTGTCTTCGTTTGCCCATCTCTTCACTCACTGTGACTGTCTCCGCAGTGACTGGGGGGAATGGATGGCAATCAATCGCACGGCCGTCCCTGCTTCCCAGTGTCCCTCTCTGAGTTCTCTCACTTACCAACGAAGACAGATAGTCATTGATGGAGCGTGTAGAGATATCGTTGAATATAACGCCATCTGTAAGTGGCAACATGCAAAATAATTATTTGTACATTCTTAGTATATACCAACAATTCCGGAAGCAAAAGTACTACTATTATACTGATCCCACCCCAGCAATAAATCAACACTTGTGACTACCTATGGTGGGTCAACCCATGCAGTGTGGTTGGTCGGCCACTGTATTTTTAATTATCCCATGGCAAGCGATTTTTGTTTTCTCAAGCAGAGGCTTACCTGTAGTTTTGATTTTAAATTCCGCAGGTGAACCAGAGTTGGCCGATCGAATCATCTTGTCTCTCGGACTGGGCAGCAGTGGACAAGATATCTCGCCTTCACTTAGTTATCGTCCCATTAATGTGGGTCCTGTCAACAATCTAGCTTTTTTAAGTGTTCCTGACATTCCTTTGCCCATCGATCGGCCTTCTGCCCTCTGTGCTGGAGGCTCAACCACCTCTGGGAGTGGAGACCCGTGCAGTTCCCAGCCTACAAACTCAGCACCACTGAGAAGAAACTCCCGAGACACTGAACAAGTCTGCCACCAGTTCACCGTACCACACAGTAAGTATATGATGACTAACTAAACCGCCATACTGTTATAATAATACTGCAATGCCATTAAAGAGAAAGTGGCACATATAATTATAAGGGCTAAATTCAGAATTGTTATACAAAAATAGGGCAGAGTGCAATTTCCATATTAAATCCTTCAAAATACAGTAAAATCACTGACTTTTACTTTTCCCTCCTCTATTTTACAGACCGTCGCTCAGTTAGAGAGGAGCTGAAAGGTCCACGACTACACAAGCGCCAATCAACCTTCAACCCCAAACCTCTTTCCCTGGACCCAACACCTTTTAACCTCGCGGAGCACGGCTCGCGCTACAGACGACAAGTCCAAAGCACCACCTGCGAGTTCCAGCACATCCTCTTCATCCTCGACACATCGGACAGCATTGGAGAGGCAAACTTTCACAGAATGACGGGCCTACTCGCACAACTAACGGCTCTGTTCTGCAAGAAACTGAAAATCGCCATGATGACTTTCGACCACGAGTACTACGTCGAGTTTTGTTTCGATGAATACGACAACACTGATCAAGGACGAGCTGGTGCTGGTATTGCGATTGGCACTACTCCCTACGTTCGTCCCGGACAAGACGCCGGGACGAGATGGACGCACACTGCAGGTGCTGCACAGTGCGCCTGTGAGTACATGCTCACCCCAACATGTGGTCTAACCGACCCTGCCGCAGACTGCATCAATGTCATCTTTATCACAGACGGAGGTGCAAACGATCCCTCCCTCGACGTCTGCAGGGAGATACGCTGCCTACACAACCGCAGGGGAGTCGACACGTTTGCCATTGGCATCGGAAACCAAGACGAACTGCAGCTTGAATGCATGCGAGAAAATAATTTGGAGCTTGACGAGTACCACCTCTTCAATTTCGACACGTTCCCCGAACTGGAGGAGCAGCTTGAGTTGATCATACGAAGACTCACTGACCCTACGAATACTGACTACACGTGTGTTGACACAGCAAGTGATCCTGCAGCTGGAAGAAAGTAATAGTCTCATTCTGGAATTAATTGTAGTAGCTCATTACCACATGTAGCATCAAGTGTGACTCAGTATGTGAACACACCTCTGTGTCAATCCTGTGACTAATCCTCGGCGCGCATGCGCAGCGAGTGTTACAGTACTTGTCTGTCTGTGTTCGTCTGCGTGTCAGGCTCTCCGCGAACTACTAGCGGGCGGGAGACACGAGTAAACGCATACTAAAAGCCCAGCCAATCAATTGCATGCGCAGTTCGCCGAGTGTTTGCATGCACTGCACTAGCGGCGCTGCCGCAAGGCCTCTACATTTTCAATTCATGTGCGCATGCGTATGCGCACAATGCGGCCCACATGCGTTTAAGCGCGCAAAGGCGTCAGTGTTTCTTCGACCATGCGGCAGCTCCACTACACGTTGGCAGTGATCCTCGCGTCGCTATTGGCTGGCAGTAGCGTCGCAGCGTCAAGCTGTCCAAATTTCACAAATGAGCTGCTGGAAGACACACTTAGTAATGAAGCAAGGAAAAGAACGATTGCGTCTTACGTGACTCTCTGTGACAATGGACAGCAGCCGACCCCTGACACGGTACCAATGGAGAGGGCTGCAACAGTAATTATCGACATATACAACTGCAGCGGGAATTGCGACTACGCGTTGATCGATATAAGGTGCATCGACGGAATTTGGAACGAAGAAAGCTTCAGCACAAGGCAGAGTAATGGTCTGGGATTCCGTAATCTCTATGGTTTAGCGCACTCAGGAGGCGTATTGTATAACACTTGCGCCGATTGCATCGACATGACGACCCTCATGAATCGAGACTACCCCAGAAACCCTCCAGGAAATTTGAATTACAACGAGACAACACACTGTCTGGGTAAGTTGTATATACCTGCGCAGAAACACGGTGCGAACTGTGACGCGTGGCTGCGATCTACATACGCATGCGCGTAAATCATAATTGGCTTGGGCATGACCAAGAAGAATCAGCAACCATGAAATATTTTGAATTTCAGCATCGCCCACAGCCATTGTTGTGAGGATCTGATAGCTTCCCTGTTTGCATAGTCAGTAATCTCTATCAGCATTTTTGTATTATGCCAATTTCAGCATGCCCACAACCCTTGTTGTGAGGCTTCCCTGTTTGCATAGTCTATCAGCATTGGTATGGTATTGGTATTGGTGACAGGTGTAGGAGCTGTAATGCTGTTGTCATTCAGCTGCCTTCCAACCTATGGGCTGATGAGCTGTACCAAATGCTGTGTTGTAGTTAACCCTCGGCTCGCATGCCAAGCGAGGTTTACAGTACTTGGTCGTCTGTGTGTGTGTCTGTTACCACGTTTTCTGCCACCACACGCAACAAACCGGCCAAAAAGCAACACCAGCGGGTTCGGCGCTACATTGGCTTCTTTTTTGAAATGGCGATTCTCGTAAAAGTGCTGTGTTCTAAAGTTATGGCGTGAAAACCAAGTGAACAAGCCAATATGCTAATTAGCACAGGCTTACTTTGACCAGGTCCGCTCGCTCTGTGTATCTTGAAGGCACAAGAAATCACAACGAAGGACATGTATCGACTCCCGCATGCTATCTACTACTGTAGCTAGCCCTCTCCGCGAGTTATTAGCGGAAGAGATCACGATACTAATAGCCCAGCCCATGAATTATTGGTACGGTGTATGCGCAGTTCGGCGAGGGTTTGCACTTTAGTGCTTTTCATTATAGTGAATTATCCTCAAACAGCCAATTTATCTACATGGTTGTCTGCTGAGCCATTGAAATGTAGAGGCACACCTCGTGCCTAGTCGGCAACACCTGCTGTGGCTAGCTTACCTGCTGGTCTCCTCATGCGGACATTTTGTGGGGTTATATTTTCAAAATTGAGAGCTGTATTAATGAAAGGCACTGAAGTGCAAACCCTCGGCGCAGTGATGATAGTGAACACACACGCACAATAATATGTAAAGTAATGGGTGGGGCAATGGTATCACCAGGTCTGGTAGAATTGTTGTACTTACTGGTGCTGTATTTAGATAAGATTATTCTTTCCTCCCAAGCCTAACCTAGTGAGCTACAATTCAAACACCTTAGTTGGAGGCATACTTACTGAACTAGTCTCACAGAGAAATGAGGGAAAACAAAATGGCTGCTGGCTACGTGGTCCCAATCAGCGTGCGCCGCTTTGGCCGCCTGCCGCCTCGGAGTCGCATGCGTTTTGGTGTATACACACATGCGCGTTGTTAAAATGGCCGCCCTTGCCGTACCGTACCAACAGGAAACGCTTTAGCTCTGCAACGAAGCAGTTTCAGAGAAAATCCCACATATTTTCTGACCTCCGTCGGCCGCTGGGTATGTAAACCCGTTTCGGACGCGATCTATGACTTGAGAAGTGAGTTCTCACTTAACTGAAAGAATGAATGACACACACGACAACTACAGTAACCTTCGCTGCGCATGCGCGCCGAGGGTTAATGATTGACAATTGGCTTTCTAACATGCTAGATGTATGAGTGAAATTACAGCGCAAGTTCGTTGAAGTTTGTATATACTACACCTTTCCTGTCACATGCAGAGCTTCCCATGTGCAATAGATCTGATGGGTCTTTCCTCGGGTACTTCAGTGCTAGAGAGTGCTGTGTAGATATAGAGGAAAGTTCCTCTTACACCTACAGAGAAGAAACCTTCATCTGCATTGGTGTGTTACAGCTAGAAATGTGTTGATTTGCATTTTGCATGCTTGCTAATCCATCTTACAGTCCACGGATTTGTTAAGACACAGTACTCTGTGTTGGAAGGAGATACAGTTGATGTCATTATCAAAAGAAACGTCAAAAATGAAACTCAATTTCCACTCCTCACAATCGAAGGCAGAATTGTAACAGAAGATATAAACGCTGGTGGTAAGTCCGTAACTTTGACAAAGCAGTGAAACCTCTGAAAATGTATATACTCTCTGAAAGGATATCTCTAAAGGACACTTTGTTCTGCCCTATACTAGTACCTCAAAATATAGGACACCTCTGAATAAAGTACACTTTAAACGTCTCCAAGGTGTCCTTTATTTGAAGGTTTCACTCTACAACTGATCACAAGCCACTTCCCTTCTCCCAGACTTCAACCCAGTTTCTGTCACACTACTGCGGCGTGAAGAATCAAAGACCATCTCAGTGACAGCTAGAGATGATGATGTAGCTTTAGAGGGTGGTGACAAAATCATTCTGAGGCACACAAGTGGTATCAATAACTATGTGTATGAAGTGGAACGAAGGGGGGAGTTTTTCCGCTACTTCACAGAAATCATCATCATTGACAAAAACGGTAAGTCTTAGTCAGAACCACAGTGAACCAGCCTACTTTGATTTATCAATGGTGAAGCCAAAAGCTAGAATAACCTCTAAAGTACGCGCCTATCCCAAGTGACATTATTTCTAGTAATAAACATTTTACAAGGGCAAAGTAATTGTACTCTTGGCTTGCACTACATTTTGCAGTGATCGTCACTTACAAGAAGTTCAGCATAGGAATGAGTGTGTAATTATCATTTCCAACTGTTATGCAGAAGTACTGCCAATTCATGTGGAGAGGTCATGCACCGTGTTGGAGAACAACAAAACAGATCAAAATCTCACGGTTACATGGCAGGAGAACCTGTCAAACCAGAAACCCATCATCCTGAAACTCACAGGGAGAATTCTGGACAACTGTGGCGTCAATCAGGATCATATTGCAAGGCCAGGACAGGATTTTGTCGAGGACACAGTAAACTTTGTAATCCCAGAAAACAGAGTCGGACAGTATGATATCAGCCTATGCGACATCATTATCAACGACGGCACCGTCGAACACAGGATCCAAAGTTTTGATCTGGAAGTAAAGGCTGCCACTGAAGGAGTTGTGTTTGACTCAGAGAATTCTACTGAGACAGTGACTGAGGTGGCAATAGAGTGCGCTGACGGTAAGATTTCGGAATCACTCCACTACTTTGGCCTAGCGAAACTCCAAGGGTTTGCACTTTAATGCTTTTACAAATGTATCCAGTAAAGCACAGTAGTATTTTGGTTCTCCCTCGGACGGGTTTCCCTGTCTAATGTGGCACTACTAGCCTTGCACTTGACTACGCTATCTCTTTATCGACTGGTCTCTTTCCCGAACATTGTCATCCCCACAGGTAGGCCAGCAGAGGTCAGTTTCCTCCCAGTGAATGCCACAGGAGTGAGGATCTCCTGGAGTGGCAGTGTCAACCTCCCCACCTGCGTCCACTACACCGTCTCTCTCTCCACCACCGGCATCATCATGAACCAATACAACAGGGTCTACCCACCCGGAACCACCTCCGATGTCGTGGTCTTGGATGATGACATCACCCTTACAGACGAATATGTGCACAATTTCACCCTCCACTACATCTCTCGGAATGATGATGTCCCAGGAACTCCAACCATTGCCTCCTTCAGTTTCGGTAAAAATTGTGAGTAAGTCAGTAGTTATGGCGACACATGCTTTCCCCGCTATACAGATAAGAAGTACTTTCAGATTCAGTTTGGACCATTCCACTTTTGCCTGGATTGGGGAGTAAGTCAGTTGTGTGCATTGGTGAGGAGTTCTTTAATTGGCTGACTGCTGTTAAATCCCTGCAGCTGGAAAAGACAGTTCGCATTGAGAAGCAACTGCAGAGTTATTTGATTCAGATCCTCCGTAAGGATTGTGCCGATTGCTATGGATTAACCCTGTCTTTCCTGAGACCAGGACTGTTTATCTGCCACAGTAACCCCACCAAGACCACCTACCGCTCCACCCTCGTTAACCCTTTCCCCACCACAAACTCCACCCACCTGGTGGGCATTATTCAGAGTTGGGTGTCCACGGGTCCGTCCATCGTTCTTGACGGTCTGCTGGTGAGGGTGAGTCCATCCTGCCCCACCTCTATCTCCAGTCTCGATGAAGAAGAGTGTGAGACTGGTACCACATATGACCCGCAACTGGGGGACCAGATTACTCAGACTCTCAATGTTTGTGCCATCAGGAATCTTGGAGAACAAGTCTGCAGGCTTGGCGGTTGCTGAAAAACAACAGCTAGTAATCTTGACCCTATTGCTGTGGCATCTGACTAAAGTGATTCAGTGTGTTTATGATCAGTGCCATTGTAGCTAACAAAGTCTCGTGAACCTTACCTTTTCTGTAGATGTGTGCCTAGTTAGAATATCCCCCTATATTATGGTTCATTGCATATGTGCAGCATCAGTTCCATGAAAACCCCAGTGAAGAGAAGAACTATTGCCAAAGGTCCCATTGCAAAGCTTGCTGGTTTTGTCTTTGCATTGTGCCAAAGGGTTGCCCTGTTTCACTAACGTGGCTACACACAAAAGTTGCAATGAGCCCTCGTGTGTAGCTTGTACAGTGCCAAAGAGCAACATACACAATACAAAGACCACTGAAAGTGACAAGTGGAAAAACCATTTCTTCAAAATGTAGGGGGATCAAAGACATACAAAGTTACATGACACTATCCCCTATATTTTTGTCTTGTTTTATTTGCCGGTAAATCAATAGACGATAGAACAAAGATGGGATGGTGTCGTGGATCTTTACATGGTGTCGTGGATCTTTACATGACCCCCAATTTCTTTCGATCCCTAGCTAACCCCCTTCATTTTCCACTGTAACAACACAGCATTATTTTACTTACTATGGTCACTCAGATGTGCATGGATGTGTTACAAAGAGGTTGACCATGAACAAAAATTTTAAATTGGCCTACCTTACTAAGTGAAAGCACCATCTACATTATATAGAAGTTGTTTGTAGATATAGTTGGATAGCTATGGGGCTACCTTCTCTCATCTGTCCAAACAATTTTCGTACTGAGTTACGTGCATGACCCGCGGGTGTGAAGGGTGAGAACTACAAACTAAGACCTAAAAGCGGCGATAAATTTCCGTTTCTTCGTGTGTGGGGAGTCCGCTGCTCCGCACCCGTCCCCTTGACGCCGCGTGCGAAGTGTCACGTTTTCGTTTTCCTGGGGGATCCCGAAATGGAGGAAAACGGAGGTGTAGGGAAATAGTGTCCGGTTTGGTGGACGTCCAAAACTCCTATAAAAAGTGCCACTGGAAACATAAGCTTTATCACATCCCTCAACTCCACACTACCAAGCTCGAAACATCTTCTTCAAGATGAATTTTCTGACACTGGCAGTTATTATTGCCTGTGTCGGACTCAGCGGAGTGGCAGGCCAGCTCCCGTGTGCCAGCGTCCTTCGTCGACTGTCTTCGTTTGCCCATCTCTTCACTCACTGTGACTGTCTCTGCAGTGACTGGGGGGAATGGATGGCAATCAATCGCACGGCCGTCCCTGCTTCCCAGTGTCCCTCTCTGAGTTCTCTCACTTACCAACGAAGACAGATAGTCATTGATGGAGCGTGTAGAGATATCGTTGAATATAACGCCATCTGTAAGTGGCAACATGCAAAATAATTATTTGTACATTCTTAGTATATACCAACAATTCCGGAAGCAAAAGTACTACCATTATACTGATCCCACCCCAGCAATAAATCAACATTTGTGACTACCTATGGTGGGTCAACCCATGCAGTGTGGTTGGTCGGCCACTGTATTTTTAATTATCCCATGGCAAGCGATTTTTGTTTTCTCAAGCAGAGGCTTACCTGCAGTTATGATTTTAAATTCCGCAGGTGAACCAGAGTTGGCAGATCGAATCATCTTGTCTCTCGGACTGGGCAGCAGTGGACAAGATATCTCGCCTTCACTTAGTAACCATCCCATTAATGTGGGTCCTTACTATGCTTTGGTCCTTCCTGCCATTCCTTTGCCCATCGATCGGCCTTCCGGCCATCTGTGACGGAGGCTCACCCACCTCTGGGACTGGGTCCCTGTGCAGTTTCCAGCCAAGAAACTCCCGAGACACTGAACAAGTCTGCCACCAGTTCACCGTACCACACAGTAAGTATAATATGATGACTAACTAAACCGCCATACTGTTATAATAATACTGCAATGCCATTAAAGAGAAAGTGGCACATATAATTATAAGGGCTAAATTCAGAATTGTTATATATACCAAAAAATAGGGCAGGGTGCAATTACCATAATATTTCCTTCAAAATACAGTAAAATCACTGACTTTCACTTTCCCTCCTCTATTTTACAGACCGTCGCTCAGTGAGAGAGGAGCTGAAAGGTCCACGACTACACAAACGCCAATCAACCTTCAACCCCAAACATCTTTCCATGGATCCAACACCTTTCAACCTCGCGGAGCACGGCTCGCGGTACAGGCAACAAATCCAAAGCACCACCTGCGAGTTCCAGCACATCCTCTTCATCCTCGACACATCAGACAGCATTGGAGAGGCAAACTTTCACAGAATGACGGGCCTACTCGCTCAACTAACGGCTCTGTTCTGCAAGAAACTGAAAATCGCCATGATGACTTTCGACCACAAGTACTACGTCGAGTTTTGTTTCGATGAATACGACAACACTGATCAAGGACGGGGGCTGGTGCTGGTATTGCGATTGGCACTACCCCCTACGTTCGTCCCGGACAAGACGCCGGGACGAGATGGACGCACACTGCTGGTGCTGCACAGTGCGCCTGTCAGTACATGCTCACCCCAACATGTGGTCTAACCGACCCTGCCGCAGACTGCATCAATGTCATCTTTATCACAGACGGAGGTGCAAACGATCCCTCCCTCGACGTCTGCAGGGAGATACGCTGCCTACACAACCGCAGGGGAGTCGACACGTTTGCTATTGGCATTGGAAACCAAGACGAACTGCAGCTTGAATGCATGCGAGAAAATAATTTGGAGCTTGACGAGTACCACCTCTTCAATTTCGACACGTTCCCGAACTGGAGGAGCAGCTTGAGTTGATCATACGAAGACTCTCTGACCCTACGAATACTGACTACACGTGTGTTGACACAGCAAGTGATCCTGCAGCAGGGATAAAGTAAAAGTCACATTCTGGAATAAATAAACCTGTGATGATGTCATTACTGAGTTACTGTAATAAAAGACATGTAGAAAAAGTCACACTAAAAGCGCTAGTCCCGCTAAAAAAGTGCGCATGCGTTAAAATACGCCCAGACGCAGCGGGACTGTAGCTACGTAGCTTGGTGTAGGCAGGTAGAAATGAAAAAGTGTAGGAAATATCCCTGCAAAATCCCCATATTTCTGACATGCAACCTTCCTATGCAACCTTCCTATAGTCTATCCACGTCTCTATCTAAGTAATGTTCCATTAGCTGCGTACTCTCATCCACCACTTACACTTTAGACTACGGTAACCAACGCAATTGACCAATCAGATTCCGAGTTTGGAGGTCACTATTTCGCGGCCCTGCGGCACCCAATGGTAACCACGCCTTCAATTCCGTGTGTGCGGAAAGCAAACGGAGCTTCTGGAGAGGTTTAAAACCAGGTACTCGGTCTTCTAGAGGCGGTGCATGACTACAGGGCCCTAGCTACAGCTCGAGCCAGACGCGCACGCTAGCAGTGTGAGTAGCGCCCAGCGGCCCCGCCTACTTTCGCGTTAGCCGCTTAGAACTCTAGTGCTGCTATAGTCGTTGTACGTCCTGCTCGAACTGGCTGCTGGCAACTGCAAATGGCCTGTCTATATACTTCCAGTTCGTCCTCAGCAAAAAGCTCCATAATCTGTGACCCCGTCCATCCTCAATGCAACGTGCATTGTTATATTGCTAGCGCCTGCGCTGTAGTCTAAGATGGTTTGATGCGTTGCCATGGGAACTACACGATTTAGTGAGCCTCAGGGCTCTGGTAGTAACGCCCTCGCTGCGCTCGTGACGCGGACACCCCAGGGCCCTCGACACGTACGTACGAGAATACAACCCGGAGCGCTAATGCGCTAGGCAATTATGTGGGAGGATTTTACGTGAGGTCGGAGTTCAGCTATAAAGCCGCCCCAGCCTAGAGTTCCAGCTTTCTCTCTATAGTGGGACAGTTTTACGTGAGTAAGCCCCTCATTAAAACATTGAATTTTTCTTTAATCATTATAATTATTATTATATCCAACATTTTCCCAGTTACTTCCTCGTCATTATCTTGCGTCTTAAGTATGTAAGTGTACCATGTGTATAGAAATTAATCAGCCCACTGCGTTGAGGGTTAGCACTTCATTTTGCAGTAGGAAGCATGGCAGAATTCTGGCGGGTGAATCGCAGGATCATCTCTCTCAGCCAAGACACCGTAGACAGCCAGAAGATCTGATGTGTGTGCTCTAACACTGTACTTGCTCTCCCTACTACTGCAGTGCTTCCCACACACACGACAGTGTTTGGGAAGTTGAGTGTAATGGAACTCATGCCCTTCAGAATCCGTCATGCTCCTGTAATTTATGTGTATATTTTGGATTGATGTTTCTTTCTCCAAAAAATGCGAAGCTGGTTCTAGTCCGCACTAACTTATGTGTGGATTCCTCAGCTGTGGTTTACTACACTGGGTTTCCCAGGGAAAATTCCCTACCACGGGCAGAGTGAGTGAGTAAAAACAAAGGACCTTCCCTTGCAGTACCGCGAGGTTTGTGCGTGCGCACCTGCGGTAACAGTGTCGGGGCGCTGCGCCGTTCTGTGTTATGGTTTCTAGAGAGACCACTCTGGCTATCTGAGAATGTGTGGAATGTAACAAAGGAAGCTTTGCGGCCCAACGAAGGTCCCAAGCTTCCTTCCCGAAACCGCGACTAACTTCCGAATCTTGCGCGAGCCCCGTAACTAAGGTATATAACGGTAATACCGTAATGTTCTAAATTAGCGCTAAATGTCCTACGTGAAACAGCCGGCCGTGGACTCGACTAGCGCGGCGTTGCAGCGCCTCAATTCATGTGCGCATGCGTATGCGCACAATGCGGCATGCGACACCCACATGCGCTTAACGTACGTATATTATAGTAATATCGGGACTGTCCCGACCAGGTCGAGACGGTTGGCAGGTATGCAATATAGATACAGTCTAACCATGTCTCTATCTCTATCTACACTCACCCACCACTTAAGCTTACTCTCTACTTTCGTGACCATTGTATTGTTTCATCTCAAGCCTTTACTCTACTAGTGGAAATTTTGAACATTGTTGGCGAGCGGGAGCCGCGATGTTCGAGCTGCATAACGTGCCGTCAGCGCACAGCTTTCCTTTCGTGAAGCAAGACAGATCTAGTAGTATATACCTGTCGCCGTTACATGCGTATTGTATATGCATTGGCAGAACGGTGAGCAGGTGAGCAGAACGGTACTTACCTTATGCTTTCAGCTCGCCACCCACCACTTGCACTTTCGTGACCACTGTAAATGTCTCTATCGCAGTAATGTTCCATTAGCTGTGTACACTCATGCACACACCACTTACTCTCTACTTTCTGTGACCCCCATTGTAAATGCCTCACGAATCTACCCGAAGTTCCATTAGCACTAAGAGCATTTACTCTAGAATTTACTTTGTTATCTTCCGTCTCAGAACCTTCAGTTTTTTAACCGAATTCGTGACCGCCGTAAATGTCTCTATCACTGTAATGTTCCATTCGCTGTGTACACTCATGCACACACCACTTACTCTCTACTTTCTGTGACCCCCATTAGTAAATGCCTCAGGAATCTACCTGAAGTTCCATTAGCACTAAAAGCCTTTACTCTAGAATTTACTTTGTTATCTTCCGTCTACCTTCAGTTTATTTAACCTAAACCTTGGTGGCCTTGTAAGGATGTTTGCTTTAACTAACCGTCTTATCCCTCACCCAAAGCGTAGCGGCGCTATGGCGCTTTGTTCGCTATAAAAGTCCGCCGCGTAGATACGAGTGATGAACAGGTTGCTCAGGCTGGTATAATAATTATACCCATTTTGCTTTGCAAAATGGAAGGTCTGCCGCATAAAACCTGTTCTTTACTGGCATTGTTGGCTGCAGTTGCTTGTGGCGGAGGTCTTGACGAAGGTTTTTACCAACCAACCATGCGCCCTATTCGGGAAGTTATTAATAGCCAACCAGGTAATATTAACCGTCGGCGAGAATGTGCAGCGAGGGTTACGGTAGTTGTGTGTGTGTGTGTGTGTGCGAACCATGAATCACCCCACAAACAATACCACGTATTCAGCTATATGTAGGGTAATAAAAAAATATATGTATATAGGGTTTTCTGCTACATTCGGCGTGAAACACGAGAGAAAGAGCCAATTACGGAGTATAATGCGCGCGAGGCTATCCCCATGTTCTAGTTAGAACGTAGTTAGAACGTAGTTAGAACGGAACCGGGAAACGAAACGACGAAACGAAACCAGGACGATGTGGTGTAGGGTGCCAGAATGGCTCATTCGGCCGAGCCGGGCGCAATATTTTAGCTCGTAGAATAATCATATAGGAATGCGCACGCGCATACTTTGCCTCGCGCCTGCCAGGCAATCAGTCCGACTGAGGCCGCTCGTGCGCGCGCTCTACTGACTGCGCGCTAAGCCAGACTTCTTACAAATTTGCGCGCACGGCGGAAGCTAGACTTCCTACGAATGACGGAAGTGACATTCCTAAGCGTGACTAATTGACATTCTTAAGCGTGACGACACGTACGTACGCATATCGTGAGAATACAACCCGAAGTAGTTGCCTCACTCTAACGCGCTCGGCAATTAATAGTAGGCTCGCTAATGTCTAGGCCTGGGTTTCGAGGCTACTGATTTACCGGGTGTCTGGAAAAACAGGCGAGCACAGCGCCTTGGCGCTTTTTTAACGTAAAACTGGGACAAATTTATCAGGGAAGGTACCACTACGAGCAAATGCAGAGTATACATTTCAAAGTTTGAAAAGATGGGAATCAATATGAATTGAGACTCAAACAACATAGTCTATGTAAGTGACTCTTGTGTAACAAAATCATTATCCACACTAAAGAGGGACACCGGTGGTAAATACCTAAAGCGACTTTTTCCGATATTTTCCCTGGATGTCCATATAATTATAGCAAGTCACAATTTCTTGCTACTCAGCATAGCTACTAATCTTAATAATTAATAGTGTTCTTTTTACCTTTGACCTAATTTTCATCTTCATTCTTGAATTTCTTCCCCAGACATTTCTTTCTGCCCATCAACTATCTCTGTACATGAGGGAGTTGATGCATTTGCAACAATAAGTTTATGCAGGCAATCTAATAATTTTCATTATGAAGTTGTTTGGTGGCCGAGTACAACAGTCACTGTTACTTCTTTATCTGGATCCGCTACTGGTATTTTACACTCATATAATTATTATACTTAACAATAAAATCACTGCTTATCAGAAGGTGTGGTGTAAAAAACAGTGTATAAGTGCTATTTAGAACGGTTTTACGGCAACCACATTCCGCCCTAGCTTGCTGACTCTGCCCTCTTTAGGGAAGGTGTCAGGTGAACCATGTATGATAGTGGCTCAGGAATTGTACGCTATATATTGTACACCCATTATGTCTAGGGCACAGTAGTACGATACAAGCACGCGACCCATGATGTCTTGGCGCCCAGGAGTGATTTTTAATGACATCAGACCACTTTTGAATTCTGATTGGTATGTAACACCACTGTGCTTTCTACACAATTGCAGTTCACTTGACCCTTTCCAGATTTTTGAGGATGGGGTCTGGCTTCACTGTACTAATTCTTTTTTAAGAGTGTCAGACTCTCAGTAACCATACAGGTAGCGTAGCTCAGCCCATTAATTAGCTGTCGGTCTGTGTGTCTGTTACTCACACGAGGGGGCACGTAACTCATACTTTGCGACAATATAGGGCTTGTGTGGAGAAAGATATACACGAGCAAGAAATGTCAGTTTGAAGACCCATTGTACTACTGCATCACATGCACTAAGTCATCCCTATATTGTCTCCTTGCTTTTATGGCATCCCTATATTTCACAGAATTTTTAATTTACTTGTCTTTACTGACATGAAGCATAAGTGTGCTCATATGTATATTAGGCATCGGCCGCCCCGGCCATGCGACTTGCCTGGCCGTGTGCCTAAATCATTTCCTACGCACATGAAAAAGGTAATGCGCAAATGTTATCCTATCTGACAGCTCCTCGGTTTTGAGTTGTGGCTGCAATAATGTGAAGGAAAATTTACACGAGGAAGCAATGTCAGCTATGTAGCTATGTAATACTGCATCACATAGGCCCTCCGGATCTCGTATATATACCCCTCACAAGTAGTATCATCTCTCTTCTACAGCTAGTTTGGACTTTATATCCACTCCTACTATAGTCACAATCGTAGACGATTATGACACTCAACCCACAATCTCAGTTCAAATAATTAATGATTCTGTAATAGAACAAAATGAAACATTGAAACCTAGTATGCCCCTCGAGCTAACAATGAGGTTTTATACTAATGGTCACAGTGGATCTTTATTCTCTTTGCTCAAGAAAAATGGGGTTTATTGATCATATTATTGTATCAGGCAAGCATATCTTGGAAATACAATAATTATGCCCGTCACACACAGTACTTTTTACAGCATCTCTCTTCTACAGCTGGTTCGGACTTCATATCCACTCCTATTTCAGTGACATTTGGAAATTTTGACACTGAAGTCCCATTCTCAGTTACAATACTAAATGATTCTTTTATAGAACGAAATGAAACATTTACCTTGGCACTCAGTAATGGCAATACTGCTACTGTCACCATTGTGGACGAGGATGGTAAGTTTACCACTGCTAGCGTATAGCATCAGTGAGCCGGCCGTGCGCATGCATGCGCCAGACAGGGGCGCGGCGCGCGTTAGAGCGGACCACGTGGTCCCCGTCGTGCGGCCGCTGGTTTTTCACTCGCCTGGGTTTGCTCCCGAATTTCGGCCTAACTATCCGTCTTTTGGTAAGGAGCTACTGTTGTGTGTACTTTAGCTAGCTGCAATCCAGCTCATTGCCAATTTTCTTTCGAGGTTCCACGGGACGGCCACAACCTGACGTTGTCACCTTCACGTGACACTCCGTGTCTGTCTTGTCCGCACTGCTGACTATTGTGCTTGAGTCGCCACGGTCAAAAGTAAGTCTTGCTATTGCAATTATCATCACGTATAATTTACTCCAAGGTCTGTACTCTACTGCATCTTGGGTTTGTGGCCACAGTTAATTATGTTTCAAGGTAACCCCTGCAAGTTGTCTGCATTCCCTCATTGCCTATTCCTATTTTAATAGGGGTGCCTGACGACTCTCCTTCCAGTTCAACCTTCTGCACCCCCTCGGTCTCTAGCCAGCACTTCTCTGCTGACAGTCGTGGCTGATAACAAGAACCTCACCCTGTTCTTTCAGTCGCAAGGCCCTCCACTGCGCTCTACCACTGCTCTGCTGTCACCACTGCCACCTGGGCTTCTCCATCCTTTGAGATAAGTTCAAGTTTTTGCGTTATCACTCGAAAAGAAGGAGGGCAGTAGATATTATGTGCATAATTCTGAGAATATAAAGGCTAGAGGTAGATCCCTTTGTCGGTCAGACCCTGGTAAGGTAAAGGCAGTGGCTAGGGCCACCTATCATGGTGACCCTGGTAAGGAAAGGCAGCTGTGAGCCCATTTAAGAAAAATATTGCTGCACTATAGAGGTAATGCAGACAGTGGGAAGGATAACCATCCATTGTAACCTAGGTTTGCTGATTTTCAAAGGCACCAAGCTAGTAGTATTCCCAGTACCCAAGCAGCCAGCACATCAATACACATATCCCAAGGATGTGTGGTTGCCTTTAATTGAGTCAATATGAGTATTCACTGGCTGGGTAGCCACAGTTTACACAACGATCTAATGAGCAAACAATGGCCAGTGACCTTTCTTGGTAAGCTGTAGATGGCTGTGGCTACATCCCAAGCTGGCACGCAAGGGAAAAGTGGGAGCCAGTAAGCGAGAAGATGCGCACGCAAGCCAGAAAAAGGCGAGAGCTGGAGCGAGAGGGCTGTGTGCCGTGCGTCACTTGTGTCGTTTTGAACACGCTGTTCAAAAATGTCAGCTTAGCTGCACCATAGCTGAGTTGTAGCGTACGTGGTATACGAAGGAGACTCCAAAGAACGTCATTCCAGGTCTGCACGGAGTCTTGTCTTCTCTGCTTGGTCCGCGCTACAGCAGCCCGCTACAATTGCACGCTACAACACGCTAGCTAAAGTAGTAATCGCTCGAACAAACGGTCAACAGGCAGCATGGTTCACGCAAGCTTGCTCTCGGCCTGCTTTCCCTCGTCTCGCCCACCGATTTCTCTCACAACTCAGGTAAAATGATATGCTTGCTAGGCAATTAGTACGGTTGCTAGGCTACAAATTGGTTAACGCCTTGGTTACCTTCAGGGGTACTGCATATCCCCTCAGCTGTTTACTCTACCCCCTGGTGCTAGAGTAAACAGCTTCGGGATATGCCTGTACAGCTTCAGAACCAAGCGTTAACCTATACTTATAAGATTATCTGGGAGTTGCTGGGCAGGTGGGGCTCTGAAGTGTTTTCCTACCCCTTATCACCACTGCTGACTTGTATTATACATTCCTGCACCCTTATATATACCACTTCTGACCTAGCCTTGTCTGTCTACTCCTCTGTATTATGCTTCGTGTTTCACTTGATGGTGCATACTATCTATATATTCTGTCTATATAGGGGTTGGACTGCAACTGCACTCTCAAGCTAGACCCTGAACCCTGCAAACTTCTGGCTCCTACTGCCTGCTTGCTACTAGCTATATACCCCTGATTTTGCCTCTACGCCTTTCACTTCAGCTGGAATATATAGACCTCTCCTAAAGAAAAAACTTTCCTTCACAATTCACAACAAAGCATATTGTACAATTAATGTTGGGTTAGCTTTATGCTTTTACTTCAGCTGGGTAGATGGACCTCTTCAGAAGAGTGAACATTCCTGCACAACAAATCACATGCATTGTTGAATAATATTTTGTCGAGAGGCGCGCGGAAGTGCGCGCGCGCGCGTCCTTACTATATAATACGCAGCAGCCCCCCTCGCTCTGCTGCGCGAAAAGGGTGGGGCCGGTGGGCCTTAGCCTGCGCTAAAAAAATAAGTGGAACAAGTGGAAAAATCATTTCTTCAAAATGAAGGGGGATGTAGGGATGGCGTAAATTATGAAAAAGGATGGCAACAAGATGTCAGGGATGACGCGAGTGAAATCTCACGTGATCCGCGTACAAAACGCCTCAAAACTCAGCGAGAATGACTCACCATGGCTTCAAAATCACTAGCAATAGTCTAGAGGCCAATACCTAGCTATACATATGCCCCAAGACTTCCTACGTGCCCTCAGTTCCCCACCAGAGAATTCGCTCTTACGCGATTTTCGTGTCATCATAATCATCATATTCTTCTTCTTCTTCAGACCCGCTAGCTCCTTACCGGAAGCAGTTGAAGCGTTGATTTTTTCACAGAACGTCTCCAAATTTTCCGGAGGTGTGCACGCATATCAAGCGATCGCTTGTTTCTTGCCGCAAGTCACTACGGTAGATCGTTGAGCTCTTCCACGGTAGTCACTGAACAACGCCATTTGCTGCTAACTCAGCATCAGTGAGCCGCATGCGCCGAGGAGGGCGTTTCCAATGCGGTGCGCGCGCATTTTGCCTGATCCACGGACGAACTAAGAGCCAGGACTGGATGCCTGCAGAGAAAACTACTCTCATCCTCCAGTGCCTTCTGTAAGTCAGTGTACACTTTGTAAGTGGCTAACTTGCGTTTTGCTGTTCATTTTCACGAGGAGCAACTTGGCAGTGTGCGCCGTGTTACGCGGGCCTTGCACAGCGCCTTCATTCTTTGTCCCCCAGGTTATAGCTATCATTGTAGTCTGATTACTGAAGCCTGCCTATGAAACCACCCCACCATATGTGCCACAATCTAATTGCATCCTTGTTGGAGACACTACACATACACCCTGCTTCACCCATTAGCTTCTGCTTTCAACAGTTATCTCTACGACACCCATGAACATCAGAGTGACTGAAAATGTGTTGTCATAAGGCGTGAAAAATAGTGGAAACAAGTGGAAAAATCATTTCTTCAAAATGAAAGGGGGATATAGGGATGGTTTGAAGCACCAAAAAGGAAGAAACAAGGGGTTATTACAAGCTACATGACACCATCCCTATATCTTTGTGTTATTGTTCACAACCAATCTCGCCCTGCTGACATTTTCCTCCCTAATTAGGAAAGAGCCGTGCTTGCCGTCTCCGTCATTTCCATTCTGCAACAGTTTACCTTGAAGTAAAGTTTAATATGAGACAAAGATATAGGGATGGTGTCATGTAGCTTTGTGCATCTTTGCTGTGTAATGACCCCTTGTTCCTTCCTTTTTGGTGCTTCAAGCCATCCCTATATCCCCCTCTCATTTTGAAGAAATGATTTTTCCACTTGTATAGTAAGGACGCGCGCTCTGGGTCCCGTCCCCCCCCCCGGGGCCGGGCCCAGCTAGGCCGGGTTAGGTAATAATTTCCGCGCACTTGCGCGCGCCTCGTATATAGGCGCATGCGAGACAAAATATTATTCAACAATGCATGTGATTTGTTGTGCAGGAGAGTTCACTCTTCTGAAGAGGTCCATCTACCCAGCTGAAGTAAAGCATAAAACTAACCCAACATTCATTGTACAATATGCTTTGTTGTGAATTGTGAAGGAAAGTTTTTTCTTTAGGAGAGGTCTATTCCAGCTGAAGTGAAAGGCGTAGAGGCCAAATCAGGGGTATATAGCTAGTAGCAAGCAGGCAGTAGGAGCCAGAAGTTTGCAGGGTTCAGGGTCTAGCTTGAGAGTGCAGTTGCAGTCCAACCCCTATATAGACAGAATATATAGATAGTATGCACCATCAAGTGAAACACAAAGCATAATACAGAGGAGTAGACAGACAAGGCTAGGTCAGAAGTGGTATATATAAGGGTGCAGGAATGTATAATACAAGTCAGCAGTGGTGATAAGGGGTAGGAAAACACTTCAGAGCCCCACCTGCCCAGCAACTCCCAGATAATCTTATAAGTATAGGTTAACGCCTGGTTCTGAAGCTGTACAGGCATATCCCGAAGCTGTTTACTCTAGCACCAGGGGGTAGAGTAAACAGCTGAGGGGATATCCAGTACCCCTGAAGGTAACCAAGGCGTTAACCAATTTGTAGCCTAGCAACCGTACTAATTGCCTAGCAAGCATATCATTTTACCTGGGTTGTGAGAGAAATCGGTGGGCGAGACGAGGGAAAGCAGGCCGAGAGCAAGCTTGCGTGAACCCATGCTGCCTGTTGACCGTTTGTTCGAGCGATTACTACTTTAGCTAGCGGTGTAGCGTGCAATTGTAGCGGGCTGCTGTAGCGCGGACCAAGCAGAGAAGACAAGACTCCGCGCAGACCTGGAATGACGTTCTTTGGAGTCTCCTTCGTATACCACGTACGCTACAGCTCAGCTATGGTGCAGCTAAGCTGACATTTTTGAACAGCGTGTTCAAAACGACACAAGTGACGCACGGCACACAGCCCTCTCGCTCCAGCTCTCGCCTTTTTCTGGCTTGCGTGCGCATCTTCTCGCTTACTGGCTCCCACTTTTCCCTTGCGTGCCAGCTTGGGATGTAGCCACAGCCATCTACAGCTTACCAAGAAAGGTCACTGGCCATTGTTTGCTCAAGATCGTTGTGTAAACTGTGGCTACCCAGCCAGTGAATACTCATATTGACTCAATTAAAGGCAACCACACATACTTGGGATATGTGTATTGATGTGCTGGCTGCTTGGGTACTGGGAATACTACTAGCTTGGTGCCTTTGAAAATCAGCAAACCTAGGTTACAATGGATGGTTATCCTTCCCACTGTCTGCATTACCTCTATAGTGCAGCAATATTTTTCTTAAATTGGCTCACAGCTGCCTTTCCTAGGGTCGCCACATTGAAAAATTGACTTAGGAGATATCACCTGCTTAGGTTTTGACGACGAAAGGTACTTTAGTAGGAGTTGAAATCATGCGAAAGAATCGGAGCCAAAGCCGTTTTTACTGAGTTACGACCAAAATTGTCGAGCAGATATACCGCATGCGGTAATTTTTTGCTCTAAATTTACAACACGGTGTTTAAAATTTCCGAACAGTTTGTGTGAAGCAGTGTGGTAGTGGTGCCCGTTGAACCAACGACTCAGCTCTCTCTTTCACCGTCTGCCAGAGTTAGAAAACAGGTTAGGTTCTGAAAATGGGCGTGGTCGGGTTTACGGGAACGCTCCTACCACGAAGAGCGTCGAAGCTCGCGGATCCCTCATAACGTGCACATGTTCTATGATGTGTAGCCACTCCCTGTACTTAGTCTTGACTCCATACCTAGTTGTTTACCATCTGCTTGATTATATCCCCTACAGGGTGATACATGGCGCAGACAAGCACACCAGGTACACCATTTTTATAATAGCTGAAGTGTTCATTTTAACTCTGTAGCGTGTTTAATGCAAGCATGTGCTTCATTTAGAAAGTTGTGTTCAATCCCTGCCTCTGCACACAAATGATGAGTGGAAGATCGCAACACATGTGCAAGCGCTTCGAACTGAGGTCAAGCAATGTATTGAAAAGGTTGAGAAATTGAGTGAAGAATTTCAAGAAATCAAATCAAATGTGCAGGAAACATTAGAAGAAGTTGACAAGACCCGTTGTGCAGTGACCGAATTAACTGTAAAGCTTTTATCTAGCAACTGATACTGTTTAATTAAGCATTGGATATTTGTGTTCTTTAAAAATTGCGTAATAGTTATTATACACAATAATTATACAACATGACAACATGAGGTAAATACAAGTTTATGGGAGGACCTTCATATCTCCACTAAGCAGGTCAAGAATGATATCAAAATGGCAATGCTCTTCTTCTCCTTCATAAGAAATTTCATGTGTTTTGGTCATAGGGTCATAACTAATAACTTTGCCGGAGTACCACTTTACCTCTCTTGTGTCTTCTAGTTCGAATTTGTGGCTGATATGTTTTCCTACTAAGAAGGTTGGGTCGTCAGGAAACGAAGGTGGATTTTGCTCCATATATTCTGAAAGCTCTTCAAGTAATTCACTTACAGGACGTTGTTTCCGTAATCGACTGAAAACTATTCGAATGTTTTGCCTCAAAACCCGTTTCCTGATTTTGACTTGCTGACTTATCAGTGAACGTTTTTCCGCTGCCTTTTTAGAAGCAGTTAATTCCTTTCTATCAATGGCCAAAATTGCTTTATCAAGCTCTGTTGTGGATGTGATCAAATGTAATTGTGACAGTGAACATTTCTCCCGCTGGGCCTTTTGCTTTAGTGCCTCCCTTCTGACATGTGCCTGCATCATATGCTTTTTTCGTAGCTCGCATTGTTGGTCTGCCTGATCCTTACAGTCTTTTTCCACTGCTCTTCTTTTTTCAACAGCCAAACCAATTACCTTTTCTTGGTCTTCCTCTGAAAGATCATGCAACCACTGCACTGTTTTGTTTTTCTTTAGCTGTATTAGGTTAGATCGTGCCATTTGGTGTAAATTAGGAACTGCAGTGGTAAGGTAATCATTTAAGCCAAGAATTGATTCGCAAAGGTCGTTGCTTGGTTTTAATTCAGTGAGAACTTTTTTTAAGTCGCCATCAGGATTCCAATACTTTCCCCCAGGGAGATGATCTTGGGCATAGCTGCAGAGTTTTTCCCTCATTTTTGCAGCTCCAGTTATAATTAATTGACAAAAAACAGCATGGTTTTTTTCGCTGAAACAACTTCTTGTATACATCTTTAGACATTGCATGTAAACGATGGTTTGTTGAACACTCCTCATAAAGCCGTACTTCACTTTGAAAAACTCGGTAGCTACTATCCAATACAACCTCAGGATACTGCTGCACTTCATTCAAGTATGTTTGAAGTTCAAGGTAGTGCAAGTTCATATCAAATGCAGATTTTTGTAAGTCATTTGATTTAGAAAGCATCACCAGATCAGCATAAACATGGTAGTACATCATTGCATCAATCCTCACATGAGCAATCTCAATTTCATTTAGCAATTTACCCAGCAAGTCTCTCTCTAATCTATTTCCTGAATCTTTGCCAGTATACCTAAGGAAGGTTACTGCTGCATCCTTCAGGAAGAAGATCTTTGCAGCATTTGCAGCTGTAACAAAATAACGATTACCAACCTGACGTTCGAGAGTAATGCTAGCACAGCAACAATAGTATTCCTTCATTTCAGTGCTAAGACTTGAGTCAGTGGACATGATGGCTAAAAAGTCTTGAAAAGCAAGTACTCCAGAGCCATATTCGGGAACACCATGTCTACCAAAAACCTTACAAAACTCGTGCACTAGAATGTCTACCTGATAATGTTGTCGATCGCTTGATGAAGTGTTTTCTTGTACTAATCCAGAAAGAAATGCTTTACGTAAATTAATGCCTAGATGCATTGAACAGAAATTTTCAACAAGATCTATCGTTTTTGAGGTTGCTGGTCCGTATTTTTTCTCATCATTATCTCTACATTCTTCAATCAGTTTATTAAACCGTTTCTGTGTACTTGCAGAATCAGATGTTGATGACACCAAAAGTGTCCAGTTAATGGTATCAGCATTAGGCATTTTCAGAGCATGGGCGATTTCACGCAACGTTTGTAGTTCTCTGGATACATCATGTACTGCACTTGCGGCTGTACCATCTGGTAACTCATTCACAGATACAACCATGTCATTGATTGCCACTGCACCTATCTTTTTCTGTGCTTTCGTGGTTCCGTCAGTGTTCAATCGATATCCCGTTTCTGAGGCTTTCTCAGACAAAACCTTTGCCTTGTGGGCATCACTAATGGTTTTTAATTCAGATTTACGCATATAGCTAGCACAGGCTCGCTGAGGAAGCTTAAGATTTTGAATATCAACTGAAGGGTTAAAGCATCTGATTACAGCCTTAATAATATCAGCAATCTTTGACGTTGGCACCTGATCAGCTAGAAGTTGATAATAAAGCTTTCTAATTGCAGGTGAGTACCTCCTTCCATGCTTAGTCTGAATGCAAAACTCACTCATACCAGCAACTTCCATTTCTGACAACCTGCTTTCAGAAACTAGCTCCTCTTCTACTTCGGTAATAACCATTAACAGGTCTGTGTTTTCATCAAGTAAATGCGAAATGTCCTCCTCTAAGGAAAACTGAAGCTTCTGCAATCTTATAGCCTTTTTTTCCACCATATCTTTTTGTCTTTGTAATTTCATTTTCTCATTTGTAACATCACATAATGCACACTTTGCAGATTCAAGCTGTTTTCTAGATTCCTCTAGTTGGAATTTTAATTCAGAAACTTGACAAGTCAAATCAGACACATGGTTAGTGCAATGTTTAACCTCTGCTTGCATAGCCTTTAGTTGTGCTAAATTGCCATATACCATCAATTCATCTGGGTCGCTAACCTGTATTCTGTCAATAAATCTATAGACATTATCTGGGCGACCCCCCTTCTCTTGAAGATTTTTATCAATTGCAAGATAAAATTGACCTATTGCAACCTTAGTAGTACATTGTGTCATAGGCCACTTCTTCAAAAACTGATGCAAATTTTTGTAGAAGGATTTACTAGGAATACCATGCAAACACCACTTGAGGGATCCCCTTCCACTTTCAACTTGTCTGAAAACAGTCTTCAGCAATGCCTCATCTAATCCATAATTGTAAAGTTCCTCAGGAAATTCAACTGTATCTGCATAAGTAGTCATAAACAGTCAGTAGCAAACAGCCAAAAATCCCATTATTTCAACCTTTAACTGCTAGGTTTCGCAGTCGTGGTTGCCATAGCCTTCTCCGATATGAACACAAAGGTGAGCCTGTTAGGCTAGTATGACCCCGCAATGAGTTCTTTGTTGGTGCTGCAAGACGTGACACAGTTTCATAAAACCTTCTAGGCCGGCCGACATAAATCTTGGGGTACAACATCTTAAACTTGGAACACAGCAGGTTTTCGTCATTTGGACTTTCACGTTCCACTTCCTCCAGAAGATCAATTAATTCACCATATGTTGGTTTTTTATCAGCTAAAACAAGAGCATATTATAGAAGGCATGCATATGTTTTGAAAAGAAAATTCTTACCGGATCTAGTTGAAAAAGCCATATCACTATCATCTGTAAATAAAGGAAGGACAGAGAATATTATCAGTCAGATGGTAAACAACTAGGTATGGAGTCAAGACTAAGTACAGGGAGTGGCTACATATCATAGAACATGTGCACGTTATGAGGGATCCGCGAGCTTCGACGCTCTTCGTGGTAGGAGCGTTCCCGTGAACCCGACCACGCCCATTTTCAGAACCTAACCTGTTTTATAACTCTGCAGACGGTGAAAGAGAGAGCTGAATCGTTGGTTCAACGGGCACCACTACCACACTGCTTCACACAAACTGTTCGGAAATTTTAAACACCGTGTTGTAAATTTAGAGCAAAAAATTACCGCATGCAGTATATCTGCGCGACAATTTTGGCCGTAACTCAGTAAAAACGGCTTTGGCTCCGATTCTTTCGCATGATTTCAACTCCTACTAAAGTACCTTTCGTCGTCAAAACCTAAGCAGGTGATATCTCCTAAGTCAATTTTTCAATGTGGCGACCCTACCTTTCCTTACCAGGGTCAGCATGGTAGGTGGCCCTTTACCTTACCAGGGTCAGACCGACAAAGGGATCTACCTCTAGCCTTTATATTCTCAGAATTATGCACATAATATCTACTGCCCTCCTTCTTTTCGAGTGATAACGCAAAAACTGAACTTATCTCAAAGGATGGAGAAGCCCAGGTGGCAGTGGTGACAGCAGAGCAGTGGTAGAGCGCAGTGGAGGGCCTTGCGACTGAAAGAACAGGGTGAGGTTCTTGTTATCACCCTGTAGACGTCACCCGAGGAGGCTACAAATAGCTAACATAATCGAGTGCTGAACAATGACGGTACCGTTGTATCATTTTGCGCGCGAGTATATACACGTTCGCGCGCTCCCAGCACCCCCCTATGCCCTAATGTAAACTGGCAATGTTCCTCCTACTGGGCAGCTACGTAGTAGTGTTCGTTGATGTGCAAGTGTAAAGGTTGCAAACGACGACATCCGGACTGCGGTATGGCGCGAGCCAGCGAAAAAGCAAATCAGGATTGGCTTACCAGATTAGCCCTCGGCCAGCACGGGGAGCTCAGAGAACGCGCATGCGCATTGCATAATTGCAGCGCTAGCGCAGCGCCGAGGGGGTTTGCACTTTATCCCTCGGCGCGAATGCGCAGCGAGTGTACTGTAGTTGGTCTGTGAGTGTGTTGTGTCCGCTATTCTCGCACTACAAGGCTAAGAGGCGGCCTAAGAGCGATACCAAACGCTTCAGTGCTACGCGAGCCTGAAAATTAAAATGGCGGATTTTCCTGAAACGACTGTGTCCGAGAGCGACAAACTGGCACGGTCGCGGAACTCGTCCGTGGCCGGCCCAACCCAACCCATGGTTAAGCGGTGCGCATGCGTATATACGCGATCAACGCGGTATGCTGGCTCCTGATGCGCTTGCTACCTTCGAGGCACAAGAAGCCACAGCGAAGGGCGTGTATCGACTCCCGCATGCTGTCTACTACCGTAGCAAGCCCGTGTCAGATTTTCTGCGAGCTACTAGCAGGAGACCGCGGGTAAACACCAATAGCCCAGCCCACCATTCATTAGCGATACCGCTCATGCGCAGTTCGCCGAGGGTTTGCTTTTCATTATTAGAGGAGCTGCGCTGTTGAGAGTGAGTGCCTAGGGTATTATACACTTGCTGAAAATCACGAAGATCGACCGAGTTGGCCCCATTTTCTTACCTCGTTGCACCACTTGTTCAGGATGTCCTACTACAGAGAAGATGAAGATCTTCGACAATTCCAAGACGTTCTTCTTGCCGTGACACGAATTTTGGGGTTTCTCTCTAACGATGAAGTTTTCAAGATAGTGCACGGTTTCTCCATGACCGAATACATATACGAGCGTCGCTTCTGCGCCGACGAAATTCGCCAGGTGGCCGACGACCTCGAGCGCGTAGTAAAAGGCACAGGGATTGCGAAAACGACGGCTGGTTCTGTTGGGGTAGTATCAGGAGTTGCAGCTCTTGGCGGCCTTTTCCTGGCGCCTTTCACGGCAGGTGTATCTCTTGTTCTCACAGTGGGGGGTGTTGTCGGTGGAATCGCCTCCTCTGCTACAGCGCTCACAGCTTCCGTAGTCAAATACACAAGCGTCAAAGGAAGAGCGGAAAAAGTCAAGGAATTGCTGGATTCTCTCAAAGACAAAGATGAGGTGGTCTGCAACATCATTAGAGATCTTCAGAGAAAGGTCGAGAAGTTGCGATCGCTCTATGGGAAAGAGAGTGTCATATCTTTCCTTGGGGACGGCGCGAAAATTGCAATGTGGATCAAGCAAGTTGGATACAATATTGTCTACAAGGGATACACTGTGGTCTCGTCGTTAAAGGCCATCAAGTTTTCGACTGCAATCGCTAGATTCATCCAGGCAGATGTCCAAGGCATGGCAATAGGAATTGCTGCCCCAGGGTTCAAACTATTTGGGAAAACTCTATTCCTGGCAGGCTCAACGATCGCAAAAGTTTTGAGCGGTGTGTTCAGCGTCATAGGTATTGCAGTCGGGATATGGGACATTGTGGATGGGGCTTCGGACATCAAGAACGGCTCACAGCATGCAACGGCGTATCGCAAAGCTGCAGAGGATATGGATCAACAGACAGTCGAGTATCAGGAACTGCTGATTAAGATACGCTTATAGCCCAATAAATCAGCGCACTGCACACTTTTTGAGTGTCCTCCTCCTCTCCGTGTGCACAATGTATGTGTGTAACTTCACAGAGATTGTGTACGTTCAAGCCCCAATGACTTTCTGTGACACGTCCATAGATTGTTCATGCCCATTTATAATACAGACTTTAGGCCCTCCTGTAGCTACATGCACAACACTGAAATTGTTGGCCATACCACGAAGGATGACCCAAACAGCACACATTAAGCATAGATTAAAGGTAGACATTGATCCCACTACTACTTGAAGAACCCTTGGTAGCAGCTGTTCAAAGTAAACAGTGGGAAGAAACCGCAAGAGCCAGAGGAGTGGGGTATAATTACAAGATTCTCATGTGGGGGTGTAAACTGCAGTGAGATAGGGCATTATTGTAGTATACATATGCCAACCAACACCTCTAACCAGCACATATAAACTGGCTCAGAAGAACTGCTGTACAGAGGGAGAACTTTTCCTTTCACATTGCAACATGTGGCTGTGTGTAGTATTGCTCCCTTAGAAGAGACGGCAAGATTCTAACTCACCGTCGGTAATAATTATATCCTCTTACAATAGTCAACCCTGACCCATTGATACTGAGTCAATGAACAGGTTCATCTCATCATTGGCAAGCAGACAGTGATATTAACAGACACGTACACAAACACACAATGGAATCATGGTGTGAAAAGCCGTCAAATCTTCAGAATCCGTGCAGCTTCAGCTGGTCCTTGGTGCAGAAGCCGACCTGGAGGAGAAACTCGTAGATGTGGTTCCTCTGGTCTCCGGTGAGCTGGATGACCTCTCCGTACTCTGGGTGCTGGACCACCGTCCCATTGCAGGCAAACTCCTGTTATAGTACACACACACACACAGAGAACACACAGAGAACACACAGACAGTGGAGAGCTACATGGGGCATGCACTGCCATATGTAGTTAACCCGCGACACACACGTGCAGCGAGGGTTACAGTACTTTGTCTGTCAACGATTATTCTGGCACTACAGGCTACGAGGCGCCAGTGCCCAATCAAGGCAATATGAACTCACAAACAGTTGCAGGGAAGGGGGTATAGACCTTAAACGGAATGCGGCAGCAGTACATATGGGCTATAATTATTGCCGAGTGAAGCTAGCAGTTTACTTTTTCGCACGTAGTTTAGAATCACTTTATGGTGCAGTGCAGCACAGTGCAATAGTAACTAAATTTAGCCCCTATAATAATATATTGCTGAATTCCCTTTTACACAACCAGGCCTTGCTCAGAAATCCTTTACCCTATGGTATGGCTGGTAGCAAAGTATATACCAGCATATTGCATAACTAAGCTGACTCAGCATTGCACGGTGGGTTAAGTTCATACCCACCCACAGTCCACAGTTTGTGGGTAATGCACACACAATCCCAGGAACCCTACTGTAGATCATCTCCAAATAAAGACCACCAACCAACCTACCTTCTTACAGTACTTGACGATCTTTTTCTTGTCAAACTTCTCGTGGATACCCTGGACCGTGGTGAGAGTCTTACGTCCGTTTCGCTGCTGGATTCGGATGTGGATCAACTCGTCTCCCCCGCCACCCACGGCACTGCTCAACTTCCCGTCCGCGAACGGATCTAGGGAAATAGTATATAGTGTAAACGCTCCCCCTCCAGTAACACCGACCTAAAGTGTGTAAAGATATCCACCCTATATCTACTAACCCTTGTCCTCGATGTTCAGAATAGACATGGCGTTACAACTTCTGCTTTTTGGTGTATTCGACCTTCGACCTTCAATAACCCTAATAAGAGCACACCAAACGTCTGCACACGTTTTGTCGTCGCGAAGGCAGACTAGAAATGGACACCTGGTCTGAGATTCGTGAGTTTCAGAGGCGTCACAGAGCGGTGTGGGCGCGGCTGCGACGGAGGAAGAAGCAGCGACGCCTGCGACTTATCGAGGTCGGGGTCCCATTCTACTCCCCGCCCTCCTCTTCCCCCGTACTCACCAGCCCGCCCTCCACGGTGCTACTCTACTCCCGTCACCGAGTACCGGGGACTGCTGCAGCCCGCACTGGAGCGCCGCGTGCAGGAACAACTCCTGAACCCGCTACTGGAGTTCCCCCTTGGCTGCAGGGAACTCAGTGGGAAACTGGGGGACGAGGAGGGCGTGGTCTGGGAGCTTCTCCTCAAGTTTAGCGCCCAGGAACTCCTCGACCTTCAGTTGGTGGACGTTGCCATCTCTTCATCAACGCAGACAGGCTCTCGGCTCTTGTGGAGGGTGCTGCGAGGAGGAGAGAGGACCCCATCCCTCCGGTGAGCTCCTGCAAGACGCGACGAGACAACGACGAGCTCATCGAAAAGCTGCTCACCACTCCGAGCGTGCGAGAGGTGGAGAGCCGGCGAATGGGCACCGAGATCTACGAACTCCTCAACACCAAGTCGGTGATGGAGCAGAGACAGCTGGAAAAATTCCAGAGTGCCGGCGGGTCGCAGCTGCAGGAGTTTTGCTCTCACAAGACGCGAGACAGCTGCCGACGGGCGCGCGGGACTCACCGAGCCTGCGGGAAGCTCCACTTCAGGAAGATAATCCAACAGCACACAGATGAGAACCTCGGGGACTGTTCCTTCCTCAACACCTGTTTCCACACCGACACGTGCAAGTTTGTTCACTATGAGATCGACACCCAGCGAGAGGTGGATACCTCGTCCCAGAGACAGAGCAACAAGAATAAACCTTCTTCTGGTGTCGTGGTGAGTGGTTAGCGGCCCCTTGATTGAATCCTCTAATAAATTTCTAAATGAAGGTCTGGTTAGTGAGATGTCATGCCATGTACGTATGTCAATATGGGTCACACTGTTTCTTATGGAATGCCAAATTAACTTGTCTCTCCCTCTCCTATTTTGGTGATGACCACATTGCTTGCCTTGCCTCTCCCCCTCTCTCCCTCCTCCTCCCTCCCTCCCTCTCCACCCTCACCCCCCTCACCTCCTCACAGAGCTCACACAAGCTGATACCAGCTCAGTGGGTGAACTGCGACATAAGAATCCTGGACATGAGCTGTCTCGGAAAGTTCTCTGTCATCATGGCTGACCCTCCGTGGGACATTCACATGGAACTACCATATGGTGGGCGTCATACAATATTTTTCAAGTACCATTTTTGAGCCAATTGTGAAAGTTACCCATGGCTTTTGTAGGCGCTGACCGTTGTACGTATACAGTGGAACATCTGAACAAGGGACACTATGGGGCCAACGATTATTGTCCCTTGTAGAGAGGTCATCCCTATCTTGCAGGTCAAATAATACACTAAAGTATTAGATTAGCATGGGGTTGAAACAAGTGTCCCTTGTAGAGAGGTTGTCCTTATCTCAGAGGGTCCCTTATTGGAGGTTCCACAAGCAATCCGTGAGCATTGCTCTGTGAAATGTATATATTTGGCAAACATGCGTAGTGTTTTCCTTGCGAATATGGACGTACTTGAAATAATTATAAGCAATATTATATGAATAAACTCATGCATGCATCAGGCATAAGTGGAAAACCGTCACTGCAGCAAGTTGCACAAGGTTCCTATACTACTTGATACGTTCCGTTTCTGTTGGTATGCAGGGACAATGGGAGATGATGAGATGAGACAGTTGAATGTGCCAGCTCTTCAAGACGATGGCTACATATTCTTATGGGTCACAGGTATATATATCTCTCACACATGCACCCACACTCCATTCATTGTTTCCTTGATGCTCAAAAAAAAGCTTGCTGTGAGAACACACAGTGAAAAGATCGGTACTGATTATTGGCGAGCGGGAGCAAGCTAACCTAGTGGTCCAAATGCCGCGATTTTTCTATATTGTATATACTACATCCGTACGTCGTGCAATGCGCGTGCATTTGGATTACGCGCTTCTTTTTATCCGGAACGATTTTTACACCCTGCCTGTAGCTTGCGCAATCAAGCCAGATAGAGAACTCTCGTCCATTCGACGGCATTCGCTGCACTCTTCGGTGCCTCACCGAGGCTGTAACTTCCTTCCAATCTTCGTTGTTCCAACTTGAAATTTGTAAATAGGCTAGGATGGATCGTGCAACTATGTGCTCGCTCCCGCTCACCAAAAATGCAGTGCATTCCCCTACTAGTACATATAAGTTAGTAGATGCCGAGTCCAGGAAACTACGCACATGACCACCGACAGCCCAGGACCCCCGCAGCTCTTTAATGTGCGTAGTTTCCTGGACTCGGCATCTAACTTCAATATCCTTGCCCCTAATCTCGTGGACATCCAAGCAATTTCTCCCTCAATGGTTTCACACTGCGCTGTAGTCTAGTCCCCTACCCGTCCCTCCCAGTACAGCCCAAACCATAAAGTAAAGGAACAGAAAAGGTGTCTGACTCTGTGGGGTATATATGACAGAGTGAGAGGAGGTTTCACACTGTAGTTCCACCCCCGCCTGTCATTCTCCAAATACAGGCCTGGCCGTGGAGCATGGTCTGACTCTGTGGGGTATTAGGATAAAGTGTTCTTAGAGAGTGGAGGTTCCACACCCCATACCTCCTGGTACAGGCCGGGCCATGGAGCATGGTCTGACTCTGTGGGGTATTAGGATAAAGTGTTCTTAGAGAGTGGGGGTTCCACACCCCATACTTCCTGATACAGGCCGGGCCATGGAGCATGGTCTGACTCTATGGGGTATTAGGATAAAGTGTTCTTAGAGAGTGGGGGTTCCACACCCCATACCTCCTGATACAGGCCGGGCCATGGAGCATGGTCTGACTCTGTGGGGTATTAGGATAAAGTGTTCTTAGAGAGTGGAAGTTCCACACCCCGTAACCTCCTGATACAGGCCGGGCCATGGAGCTAGCGCGAGAGTGTCTGACTCTGTGGGGGTACGAGAGAGTGGACGAACTGATCTGGGTCAAGACCAACCAGCTGCAGAGATTGATCAGGACGGGGAGGACCGGTCACTGGCTGAACCACGGGAAGGAACACTGTCTGGTGGGCGTCAAGGGAAACCTTCCTGTGAGTGACAAGTCACACTTGCAATACACATTAGTCTGTTATATACTACAGTGGATCTTCTTATCTAAATACAGGACACCTGACCTCTTTATTAAGGAAACTTCTTTCGATTTAGTGATAAGTACCTCTGAATACAAGGACATCTCTTTCAGTTTTCATGGTCTCACTGTGTCCTTTATACAGAGCTTCCACTGTATTACAAACCACTAGGATCCATGATCCTCGCAAGCCAGTCAGTCAACTATGTAATCTCATCATATTTTTAACCCTCGGCGCGCATGCGCAGCGAGGGTTACTGTAGTCGTTCTGTGTGTCTGTCTGTCTACGACTATTCTCGCACTACAGGCAACGAGGCGGCTTATGAGCGATACCAACAGCTTTAGCGGTACATGGGCTAGAAAAATAAAATGGCGATTTTGCTGAAACGACTGCGTTCGAGAGCAACAAACTGGCACAGTCGCGGACAGCGTTGCGTGGCCCAACCCATCAATAAGCGGTGCGCATGCGTGTATGCGTGTATTAGACGCGATCAACGGCTCACCTCGACCTGATCCGCTTGCTCTGTGTACCTTGGAGGCACAAGAAGCCACAGCGAAGGGTGTGTATCGACTACCACATGCTATCTACTACCGTAGCTAGCCCGTGTCAGACTCTCTGCAAGCTACTAGCGGGAGACCGCGAGTAAACGCCAATAGCCCAGCCCATCATTAGTGGTACCACGCATGCGCAGTTCGCCGAGGGTTTGCACTTTAGTACTTTTCATTACTTGATATGGTAAAGATGTGTATCTATATTATGATCGATGTACATAATATGTGTGCAGGTGAACCGAGGGATAGATGTTGATGTGGTGGTGGCTGAAGTCAGGGAGACGAGTCGCAAACCTGATGAGGTCTGGCAATACTTATATACTGTACTCTGTACCCAGCATCGTAAACCTACTGACCGACTCCTATGTACTTAGACTAGGTTCACAATATGTCGCATTGCCCCATTGCACTGTGTCACGAAGATAGAACTGGATTTATCCTCGCGATGCGGCAATGCGGCTCGGTGCAACGGGGCAATTGTGAACCTATATAGCCTTCTCTTCCGCCCTTCCTCTGCTTATCTTCCTCTCATATGGTGGTACAGGTATATGGCATAATAGAGAGACTGTCTCCAGGAACTCTGAAGGTAGAGCTGTTTGGAAGGGAGCACAACTGTCAGCCCAACTGGCTGACCGTGGGCAACCAACTGCAGGGAGTTCATCTGGTGGAAGAAGACAGGGCCGAAAAATTCTTGGCTCGCTACCCAAACGGAGAGCAGGACCTGTTTGCCAGGAAGATAGTCCCATCTCCTGCCCCTCTCCTTCCTCCTCGATGAGTGGCCACGACTGATAGGATAGCTATATACCTTTCGTCTCTCTCTTTCAATAATGACTCTTAGAGTACGGCTGTATTTCAAATCTGATTGTGTCAACTAGGAGAAAGCTAGTCTACGTAGTTTCCTGTGTACGATGAGGATGAGCAGTAATACTGAGGAATAGTATTGAGGAATGCTATTGGATAGTATTCACCCCCCAGGGGCTTTTATATTTTCTCATGTTTTGCGCGTGCCGCACTCTAGACAATGAGTCATGGAAACCACGTGATTTAGGAAGCCTTGGGCCCTGTAGTAGCGTACTCGCTGCACTCGGAACGCACAGCCCCAGGACCTCGGCCTCCTAAATCCGCAGCGTAGTTTCCTATGACTTGTCATCTAACTATTACATAGTTACCCGTTGTGGTATAGTCTATTGCATGACCGGTCCTTAATCAGCGTCTCGGCTTGCTTATTAGCTAGTATCTTGTCCCTAGGCTGTTTTTGCTGATGTAGCACGTGCACTTACTCAAGCTCGAAGATGCAACGCCTCGTGAACGAAGTTTAGGGGAAACAGAGCCACTTATTAGGGCTGCAGGATGGTGGTCTTCTTTAAGGGGCAATCCTGCAGTTTGTGGGACATTTGGAAGATGTATGACAATTTGTTTTTCAAGTGGTAAATATTAAAGTGTTAGTATAATGCAGGGAAACGAGAATCAATAAATAACGTTGTGAAAGTGCCTTTGCTCTATGATAAACTCAGTGATCTATCCCAGCATCTTGTAATTTCTGTTGCAGTCTTTCAATTTCAGCATCTTTTGAACTAATAGCAATTTTGCTTTCAAGCTCCACTATTTTCATCCTTTGTTCTAGGATCCTGATGTCTTTTTCAGCTAGTTTCTTCTCAGCCTCACTAAGCTTACATTGTAGTTTCATATTTTCAAGTTCATTGTTCTTCTTTATATTAGTTATTTCCTCCCTTATTCGGGTCACATCTTCTTCGAGCTCTTTAACTCTATTTTCCTTCTTTTCTAACTCTGCTATTATCTTTTTGCACTCCTCAAGTTCTTGCTCTTTCTGTTCTATTTTTCTATCTGCCGTTTTTTGTTGTTTTCTTGCCATTTCCTTAAATTCATCAAGTTCTTTCATTACCTCTCTTTTTTCACAAATTTCTTTTTCTAGTTGCTTCTTTAGCTGATCAATCTTCTTTTCTTGTTCTTTCAGCCTAGCAAGCAAAACAGGACTGCAACTTGCTCTGGCGGTATCTTGCTCCTGTAAAGCGTTTACTACCGTGTTATGTTTATTAAAGCCACTATGATTGTCCACAACTGGTACAGAACTCGATGAAGAATGCTTTGCAGGGTACTACTGACTCATGCTGTCCCTGCAGGAAATTCACTATCATCAGACATTGTTTGACTCTCACTTGCCGTTATGCCAACTCCACTATCTCTCCGCAACGGATGTGATGCACTAGAGCCAACTTTTTCTCCTAAAGTGTGTTCATTTGCCCTCGAGCCTCTTCTTGAATGAACCTGATCTTTACTCCTTGTTTCAGAGCCAACACTTCCTGCTGAAGCAGGCTCATCTTTTCCCTGCTCAGATTGTGGTATATCAGCAGGATCCTGAGGCAACTCATTATCTGCTTCTATAAGGGAGCAGAAAACTATTTGACTCACTCCTGGACATACAAAGCTATGAAGCATACCTTCTACACTTGGCAATACTTCATTATCCAGACCAACAGCTTGTAGCATTTTGCGAAATACTTCGTATTGGCTGGGATCATTTGAAATTATGCTCATTGCTTTAATCACTAGATCAAGTGGTTTAGATTTCTCAGCACTCTTTTCTAACCATACAACTTCTTTAAATTTGATTTCTAAGGTCTTCTTCGCAGTATCATTTTCTGTCAGGGCATCTCTGATCTTTACCATGTTCTTTCGAAAGGTCTTGTATTCAGGTGTTGATCTTCCAGCTGACTTAACCCGTGTTGCCATTGTTGTACACAAAACTTTGTTTTCTTTCAAGCAACTGGGCAAAGTGGTTGCCATGGAAGGGATCATGTGATCATGAATATCTAGTAAATGAATATTATGAATGCAAACACCCCAGTTGTGACATTTTCCCTTATTTTGTCAATAGGCTACTAATGTGTGCAGGCCTCTTTTTGAGATGATCCAGGAGTAGCCCTTACACAGGCCAAACTGGAGAACTTTGGTCATCTCAGAGGAGTCAACCCAGCTTATAACATCATCTACTCCTATTGGCACCCCTCCTCACCCTCACACCCTCACCTTCCACCAACAACAACTAACTGTTCAAGACATAGAGACTTGGCCTGGGAGCAGAGATTCAGCAATCGACGAAGGCATAAAAACAGCAACTCTTCCCCTAATATACACCTCCACAAAACATACCCTAGACACGATATAATTTGATATTTTGATGTTTTATGTTTATCCACGGCAACCAGGGCCCAAAGTGATCTTAAGCAACCCTAAATAACTCCGCGTCCAACATTATTGATTTAAGTGTCCAGGCAACAATTACTGCTGCGGTTACCACAAAACAGTGGGCAGATGGACAGACATGCAGACACACAGAATGGCCACAATAACCCTCACTGTGGCATGCGCGCAGGTGAGAGGTAATTATGAGCTGATAATTAATGCGTAATGATAGTTGGTTTACCCCAAGATTTCACATCATGTAATAGCTAAAACATAGTTCCATATCAATGACACATTGAACTCCACATGTTGAGATTCTTATTCTTCTGTAAGGTCACCAACTTGGTTTCCAACGGCACCGACTGCACATACTACAGCTCCCACTGGGGCTAAAGGAGCCAGAAAGATCAACGCAGGGAGACAAAGTGGTATCGCTGCTAAACGAGCAGCTTTATCGATACGGCAGTCACGGTTTGTGTTGCGGGAATCGGCGGGCAATGGCTCTTGTTGCGTCGGCTTCAGTTTCCCTGCTGCAGTTAGTATGACCCCTACTCCAGGCAGACAAGCAAGGGCCCCATTTAGGGCACCATCAGCAACTGTAGCTTTTGTTGCGGCATCCACTCCACTCTGCATAAGACTCACAATGTGAGAGTTTGTAGCCAACACACACAGTTCATACTTGGTACACGATTCCAGACCCTTTACCAAAACCCTAGTGTTCTCAGTTCTCTCGGCCTCTTCCCATTCTTCACCTTCAATTCGCTTGTACGCCACATATTCCTCGACTGCATCTGGATTTTGTTCCGGCGTATCCCAGCTTAGCTTGATTCGATCACTCCCTTTTCCGATAACTTGTACATTTCTCGGAGCGCTAGGTATTCTTTTGAGAGTCTCCGAGAGTTGATTCAGTTCTGACAGTCCCCTCTCCAAAACTTCGCTGGCAGCCGGTCCGATTGCTCGCGTGTGGTACTTCACTTCTATACCTTTAATATCGCTCTCGACGTCAAGAGAAACGGACTTCCTCACTGCATTTTCAAACTTTTGCATAACTTTGCTGTCTTTTACGAGATAGTTAAACAATATTTCACTGTGTTTTCTCGATGCTGTGAAATTTCGGATTGTAAAACAATAAAGTGGCCCTCCAGTTACTTTTCTCCCTCCATTATCACTTGGCTCACTCCATGTCGCGATATCCTGTTCCAGCTGGTCCAGGAGTGGCTGGACTTCTTCATGGCTGGAGTGGAGAGGGTTAACACGGCAGATTTCCTCTCTCAGAACACTCTTCTTTCTGTTCAGTGTCTTTTCGTGGATTCTCAGAAAATATCTTTCTTCCATTGGCAGATTTCCAACCAAAGCCGCCTCCATTTCCCTCTCGTACTCCCTCACCAGCTTGTAGGAGACTTCCTTCAGCTCCAGCCTCACCACTGCCTGCCAGCCCTGGTCCAGGTCTGGTAGGGCTCCTGGCCTGTTGACTGCCTCCACATAGCTTCTAGCTAGAGCAGCCAGAGCCTTCCCAGTCACTGTAGTAGTCCCATCAATGGCTGTCTTTGGAGCTACTTTCTGGAGGACTTGCTGAATCAGAGCATCGACTGCTGCGTTGAAGGCTGGTTTGAGCTTGTCTTGCTGCTCCACTATGCCACGGATGATGTCTCTCTTGGTGGAAGGTATGGGGAGAGTGGCACACTCCAGAGAGGGGAAAAGACTGACCAGAGATTTTCCCAAGTCTGTGAGCTCTCCCGATTCAGATGCAAAGACCCGGGTGTGAAGAAACTGAGTCGGCGCCAGCTCCTTCCCTTCCCTGTCAGTCATCTTGAGACTCACGTCCCGCAGGAGCCACAGAAAATGAGGGAAGAATCCTTTCTTCACCCTGACAGACTCTGATTCACCACACTGAGCAAGGAGAGAGATGGAGAGTTGGGAGAAACACCTCATCTTGTCGAGGTCTACTTTCTGAGGCACCTTCTTGGAGTTGTAGATGAGGAAGGAGCTGAGGAGAGTGGTGAGAGTGAGCAAGCTCATGGCCATGGTCTCAGAGGCTCCCACGGCATCGATACCCTCCGTATCCAGGAAGACAACGGCAAAATCTGGGCACTCTAGGACGGTGGTGGCCATCCAGATGCCTCGAGTGCAGGCCTGCATGCTGTGGCCCAGCCTGAAGGCTCCAGGGCTGCCTAGCACGCGAGAGATGAAGTAAGACTTGCCTGAACGGTAGGGCCCACAGATGGAGAGGACGGCCAGTGGCTTGTCGATACTACGAAGGAGTTCAACTGCATCATCCACTAGCTTCAGGCTGTGGTTGTTTGGGTCTTGGTTGCGAGTCTCCAGTTGGCAGGAGAGAGGGTTCCAGTTGTTCTGACTGGAAATAATGAGAGGGATGGAGGGAGGCAAGGTCCTACCACCAAGAAGGGAGAGTTGGCAGGGAACTAGACTCCGTGGATCAATCGTGTTGGTCATCCGGAGAGCAAGAGGGGAACTAATGTGGACGTGTTTTCCCGTGTTTCAGTGCTTATACTTATACGGTATAAGCCAAGATTATTCATAGTAAATTAGAAAGTGCGCTAGCTAGCTAGCTCGAGCAACAGGGAGGACAACCTCGGCGCACTGCGCATGCGCGGTAGCGCTAAACAGTAGCTCTCACGGAGAGGCGGCATTCGGCGGGCGGGAGGGCCCTTCGACGTGGATTTTTGTGACATTCTGGCACTACAGGTTACGATGTAGCGATACCAGCGGCTTCAGAACTACGCGAGCCTCAAAAATAAAACGGCCATTTTCCTGAAACGACTGCGAAGTCACAACTAAGGGCGTGACTCCTGGATACTCCTGTACTACTAACGTGGAGACCACGAGTATATACTATTACTTACTCTCATGCCACCCACACACACTGAATTGCATATAGCCGACTATAGGAAACCAACTGGAGAGAGTTTCCCTGGTAGAGATGGCGACTGTGTGTAACACTAGGTTGTTTTAGGTCTCTGTATTTCCATTACGCTCAAATCAGTAAAAAGCATGTTTGGCTATTCAGCCAATCTTGAAATAGCCTCTGTATTAAAGGTAGCTGCTACTAGACATTATTGACAGAGACCGAGGATGAAGATAGCTATTGCTACAACTCTTGTCGCCTTCTGTATTCTGCGTAAGCTCTTAACAACTGGGGCTCTTCAAACAGTTGTTGTTGGTTTTGACGGTAGCTCCCGGGCCATTCCATATGGTTTTGGTCTATAGCTGCAGTTTTCAGTTAGCCCTTCTATCAAGATATCTTAAGATTGGCAGAATAGCCAAACTAGCTTTTACTGAGTAATTATATAAAGATGAAAAGCACTAAAGCTCTGATACATAGAGATTGGTAGACGAGCCAAACATGCTTTTATTGTAGAATTAAGGCATTTTCTGGGTCAACAAACGCCCAACCACTAGAACCACCAGAATGGGCAAGCTGGGACAATGATCAGCCACAAAAACAGAACTACTGGTCACGTCGACCACCATTTGGGTAGTGCCCAGGAAGGACACAATTGTTTTGTCCTTCCTTGGCATTACCCTGGTCGATGTGACCAGTAGTTCTTTTTCCGTGGCTGATCATGGTGCCAGCTTGCCCATTCTGGTGGTTCTAGTGGTTGGGCGTTTTCATATGCTCGCAAATGTTGTTGGGCAATCTTTTCGTAAGCTTGAAATAGTTGTTGCAACTGGGCCTCTTCAAACAGTCGTTGTTGGTGTTGACGATAGCTCCCGGGCCATTCCATATGGTTTTGGTCTTTAGCTGCAAAGCCAGTTGGTTTTGACAGCTGCTGGGCCTCTTTGTAAGGTGGTGGTGGAAACGGTGGAGGAGCGGCAACAGTCTGCAGAATACAGAAGGCAACAAGTGTGGTAGCAACAGCTATCTTCATTCTCCGTCTCTGTGTTCTGTCAATAGAATAGCAGCAGCGTCTATGTCTTTTATGGCAGCTGGACAGAGGTTATTTCAAGATTGGCAGCATATTATAGCCAAACATGCTTTTTACCACTAGAGCGCAGTCTTAGAAAATAGACGATAATTAATTAGCATTGTTTATTGTCAACACGGCTGACTTAATTACCAAACTACCAAGATAGCTACAATAGAGAAATTATCAATAACTTTGAAAGATAATTAATCAGCATTGTTCAAGAACTGACCTACTAACAAACTACCAAGTCAAGATAGCTGAACTCAGTACTACCTTGCCAAATCTATAATGAACATGCAGACACCTATAAACAACCCAGTTGTCAGGTGAACTCTCTCTAGTGTGGTTTCCTACAGTCGGCTATATAGTTCATGCAATTCAGTGGTGGCATTTTACTATGTCCTATGTCTGGATGTTCCCTTCATTTCCATTGAATTATGCATGAAGATAGTCATTAAGGATGATGTCACCATTACCTAATCTCCATCGCGTGACCATTTGCTACTAATGCTACTTATTCTCTGCTTAAAAAATTGTATAGCTAATGTGACAGTTTATATTCTTAGTTGAAGGTACTTTCTGTGGTTTTAGCCCCTTTGGGTTTATCATGTTGCCCGTAGACTGTTTTCGTGGCTTCTTTTGCCTGGTCCATTGATACAGTGCTGTTGGTTCTAGTGGTTGGGTGCTTTCATAAACTTGCGGTCATTCTTCTACGTATTCATAATTATGCTCGCAATATTGTTGTTGGCGATCTTTTCTTAAGCTTGGTATTGCTGTTGCAACTGGCCCTCTTCAAACAGTCGTTGCTGGTTTTGATGGTAGTTCCTGGACCATTCCATATGGTTTTGGTCTTTAGCTGTAAAGCCAGGATCTGGATATGGATTTGGTAGCTGCTGGGCTTCTTTGTAAGGTGCTGGGCATCCACAGACTGCAGAATACAGCAGAGAGCAAGAGTGGTAGCAATAGCTACAATCCCCATATTATTCTGTTCTAGTGTGAATAATTATGTAGTAGCAGCATACGTTTTTATATGGAAGCTAATTTTAAAACAGAGGCTATTTTAAGATTGGCGGAATAGCCAAACAGCCTTTTTACAAATTTTGGCATAGTAATGGCGAAATTCTCGGTAACTTTGTAAGATATTGAATTGTCATTGTTCAGTGTCAACATGGCAGACGTACCATTGAGGGTTTGCACTTTAATGTAGATTAGGTAATGGTGACACTCTGCAATGAAACATGCCCTTGTGTAAATACGTGTGTGTCTCGTAAACCGCTCGCAGCTTTTGTGTATCTATCAGGATGAATCATAAGTAAGGTGAGGTATGGTGTAAAGCAAAGGCCAATAAGAGCTGCCCTAGGTGGAACTCCAATCCATGACACTCTCGGCAGCCGGGGCTCAAAGTCTTCTATGGCAAAGCTATGCTTGAAACATCATTATAATATTGACTTAAGTTCATGCATGAGCAAAGCTAAATCCACTGTATCTCGGTGGTTGCCCTGAACAAAGCCAATTCATTACCTTTCGCCGAGTTGCCGAGAATTTCTCTGTTGTAAGTAGGTGTACTCCCTGCCAATCTTGCAAATTACCTCTGTATATATCATTCTACAGGAATGCAATGCATTTTTGGCGAGCCTAGCAAGCAATTCAATATTTCGCAAATTTTTGTATATTAGGATCATGCAATATAATACTGTCACATTATAAGATTTTTAAAGCAGAGAAGTGGCATTAGTAGCAAATGGTCATGCGATGGAGATTAGGTAGTGGTGACATCATGACTATCTTCATGCATAATTCAATGGAAATGAAGGGAACATTCAGACATTGTTGTTGGGCGATCTTTTCGTAAATGCCACCCACACACACTTAATTGCATGAACTATAATTATAGCCGACTGTAGGAAACCACACTGGAGAGAGTTCACTTGGCGACTGGGTTGTTTATACTGAATAGCGAAAATATTGGGAGAGCAATTTTTTTCATTATTCGGAGGTTTGTTTTATTGAGAGGTATATTATTATAATGGTAAAGGCAGTTGGAATAAGTTCATTATAGAAAGGTTTTCACTGTTGGGGGAGTTTGTTATCGGAAGTTCCACTGTAAGTGTCTGCATGTCCCATTATAGATTTGGCAAGGCACTACTGAGTTCAGCTATCTTGGCTTGGTATATACTTTTGTTAGTAGGTCAGTTCTTGAACAATGCTGATTAATTATCTTTCAAAGTTACTGATAATTTCTCTATTGTAGCTATCTTGGTAGTTTGGCAGTTAAGTCAGCCGTGTTGACAATAAACAATGCTAATTAATTATCGTCTAATATTCTCTAAGACTACACTCTAATAGTAAAAAGCATGTTTGGCTATATATTCTGCCAATCTTGAAATAGCCTCTGTCCAGCTGCTGTAAAAGACATAGACGCTGCTGCTATAATTATATTCTATTGACCGAACACAGAGACGGAGAATGAAGATAGCTATTGCTACCACACTTGTTGCTTTCTGCATTCTGCAGACTGTTGCCGCTTGTCCACCACTTCCACCACCACCTTACAAAGAGGCCCAGCAGCTGTCAAACCCAACTGGCTCAGCAGCTAAAGACCAAAACCATATGGAATGGCCCGGGAGCTACCGTCAACACCAACAACGACTGTTGGAAGAGGGCCAGCTGCAACAACTATTTCAAGCTTACGAAAAGATTGCCCAACAACAATTGCGAGCTTATGAAAATGCCCAACCACTAGCACCACCACAATGGGCCAGCTTGTACAATGATCAGCCACAAAAACAGAACTATTGGTCACGTCGACCACCATTTAAAGGGTAATGCCCAGGAAGGACAAAACAATTGACTATAAACAGTGAATGAAAGTAGAGAGGTGACACTATAGTGCTAGAATAGTTATGATTAATCAACATGTATTGAATGAAAACCAATTGGTGGTGGTCACGTTATGTAGATTAGGTAATGGTGACACTCTGCAATGAAACATGCCCCTTTGTAAACTAAGCCACTAGTTTCGTAACCCGCTCGCAGCTTCTGTGTATCTATCTGCATGAATCATAAGTAAGGTGAGGTATGGTGTAAAGCAAAGGCCCAAAATAGCTGCCCTAGGTGGAACTCCAATCCACGACACTCTCGGCAGCTCGGCAGCCTGGGCTCAAAGTCTTATATGGCAAAGCCTAAACAACTATGCTTGCAACATCATTACTTAAGTTCACGAGGAAAGCTAAATCCGCTGTATCTCGGTGGTTGCCCTGAACAAAGCCAATTCATTACCTTTCGAAGTTACTGAGAATTTCTCCGTTG